CTGAAGGGCAAGAGAATTGACATGGCAGTGTACATTCACCAGAGTATTTGGCTGACACATAATAATTAGACTGAATTATTTATCTGCAGTGAAAAGGAAGCCATTACATGTGGCGAAATTGCATACGGGGGGGGACACAGGTCTTAGAAGGCCAAAAATCGCAAAAAAAAATCGACTTTTTGAAGCTGACATTTTCAGAATCTGTGCCTATTTTTGCACCTATTTGAGAAGTTTCTAGCTTCTCGCGTCATTATTTCTGGCACAAAATCAATTTATAACAACCCTGTGAGATGAATGTGAGTGCAAACTGATGCTAAAATTACGCCTTTATCCGCGCCGAACTGTTGCTGTTACACACGAGCTATCGTGTTCATCTTGGTCTCGTTTAGAAGGGTCGTTCTTCATCTTCCATTTCCCGCCACCGCTGGCTCGCCTTGCTCCTTGTTTTTTTAGCAAAAACGCGTCATTGAGAAGCACTAGCGTGCCATTCAATTGGCTGCTTGGGGCACGTGACAAAACCTAGGCATCAGATTGGCCAAGGGGCGCTTTCGGCGTCTGCTTCACCATCGTGACGCGCACGGACATGCGCCATATCGTCATGGTGCTACTGACTGCCTGCGGCAGTAAAGAAGTTCCGTGCTACAGTAATTTCTGAAGCGGGTGTGATGGTCGTTCGTTCGCTGTGAACTTCAGAAAAAGCCCCGCAATGGCTCAAGACAACGAAGATAACGAACTCGACGAGGTCAACGGCGGTCGCCAAGTCACCGATGTAGGCCTAACTCAAGTACGAGCCCGTTGGTTGCCGACAACGTTACTGAGAACGGCTTTGTTTTGCAGCCTCATCAGTTAGAGGACAGCAAGTAAAAAGCAGAAGTGAAGCTACAAGAGATATCAATCTTTGTAGTGACGGAGCGGAAGCGCAGTCTTATCGCTAAGCACGCCGATGCCGCGGTTCCCCCCACCCGACGAAAAGACCTTGAACTGCGCGACGGGTCGTCAGAGTGGAGTACGCTGCCAACGACGAACAACAGAAAGTCAATCCGTTCGCGGTGAAAATGCTCGCCACCATCGCAATAGAGGCTACTGGCAACAGGTAGACTGCTTTTAACGACGTGTTCGCAACGTTGTCGCGATCTCCGCTCGAAAGCAGTCTTACGTGAAAAGGAAACTAGCACCTCGGCACTCGCGTAGCCTCGAAATTGATGAGCGAGGGAGCAACTTTGGTTCGCGACATTTACGGGTAACTCATTTTGGACAAGCCGGAAAACATCACCGTGTTTAACTACACATAAATGGAACAGCCATCTCTGGCACCACTCTTGCAAATCAGTTTATTATGCATTTTTCGAGATCAGGTGCTTTTCTTGGCCCCAAGGTAGCATCATCTTCGAAATCTGCTATTTCCTACATTCCTACAGCCTACAAGGATTCTATGTTTCTAACACCTACCTCAGATGTAGAGATAGCATCTGCGGTGTTCGCACTGAAAGACACGTGCTCGCCCGGTTATGATGAAATCAGCGTTTCCCCGATTAAAGCTGCTATCTGTGACATTTCTGCCCCACTAACTTATATCTGCAACAGAATGTTGGAGACAGGCATTTTCCCTGAGAAAATGAAGGTTGCGCGTGTTACTGTCATTCATAAAGGTGGCAGTAAAATAACCTGAATAATTATCGACCAATATCGGTACTGCCTCTTTTTTCGAAAATCGCAGAGCGTATTATTTATAAACGATTGTATGATTTCATTCAAGTTAAAATATTATCTTGAAACACCAGTACGGCTTTCAATGTGGAAAATCAGTGGAATCTGCTCTACTGCAGGTAAAAGAAAAGATACTTAGTAATTTCGAACAGTGATATTTTGCAGTTGGAATTTTTCTTGACTTTCGAAAAGCGTTTGATTCGATCAAACACCAAATCTTGTTTCATAAGCTAACGACATATGGTATCCGTGGACTGGCCCTTACATTATTAAAAGTTACCTCGAAGGCAGAATGCAATATACACAGTTTCAAGAATTAAAGTCAGACTAAGGTAAGATAAACTTTGGGGTCCCACAGGGATCTATTTTAGGTCCTTTGCTCTTTCTTTTATATATTAATGATATTGCTAATATTTCTTTTACTCCCGCCATTGCTATGTACGCTAATGACACTAACGTTTTCTTTTCTGGTCCAGATCTAAATTTATTAGAGCACCGTGCTAATATCTGGCTAAACGAACTTCATACCTGGCTTAATGTGAACGAAGTAAACTTAAACGTAAAGAAAACACAGTACGTAATATTTCGCCCAAAAAATAGACTTCTTCATAACGTAGAATTGAGTATCAATAACAATATAATAATGCCCGTCAACTCTTGCCGCTTCTTGGGAGTCGTTTTTAGGTTTGACCTCAGCTGGTCTGAGCACATAAATTATGTTCGTGCTAAACTATCTAGATCTCTTGCTATGTTATACAGGCTAAAATATTTATTGCCGCTGCGTGTTAGAAAACAATTGTACTTCGCTTTTATTCATTCCCACTTAACATATTGTCACCTAGTCTGGGGTACGTGCAACAAGATGAATGCTGAACGTGTTTCCTCTATACAAAAAAGGAGCCTAAAAATGATTTCCCATTCTCCCCCATCAACTGACCCTCTGTATAAAAGTCTGAACGTACCACCATTCTCAGAATTATATCAGATTTCTTTGGCAGCAATGATTTTCCGCGAATTCAAACGTGATCGCACCATGTTCTCAAGCAAATATTTAAATGGACAAGTGGCATATGTCTTTTGCACTATTTCATTGATGGGATCAAGACCAAGAACTAATTATGGTACTAAAGCTATAGATTATCAGATTATTTCATTGCTGAATGCATACCCATCCCTAATCGAATTGGCTAATCAGAACTCAAGTATGTCTCATTTTAAAAAACAAGTAAACCTACTTTTCCTGCCTCCTTGAAATGAAGATTATTTTGCTTTGAACATGAAAATATGTAATTTTGTATATTTATGTAACTTTAAAAAACTGTTAAACCTGAACAATGTGAACTTTGTATAATTTTTTCCTAATGTGTTTTTTACTGTTCGTTTTTTGTTCATATAAGTTGTGCAATGAGCATTGTACTTATTTTCTCCGATTTTGCTCCTGGCTGTCCGACGTGTAAGTCCGGGGTGAAGACCTCGTCAGGAGACATACGAGTCTCCTTTTGCCTTGCCTCGTGGACATATTTCATGTCATGTAATTATGTTCAAAATAAACTGAAACTGTGTTATTCGAATATCGCGGTTTGTCGCACCCCGCCGTCAGTACAGTTACCGAACTGATAAGCGGCCTCGTGGCAGACAAGCACACGACGACAACTTGCTACAAGGAGTAGAAGAAACAACACGCTCGTGCAAACAATCAGTCCTATTACATTCCCGGTGCATATTGACTGACTAAAAGTATGTGTGCCATGATATTTTTTTCTTCGGGGCGAAATAAAGTTTTAACAGCATTATTCTTGAAGCACAGATTTTGACCACTTTCTTTAACTTGTTCGGTAAAAGTAGACCTAGGACAGCTAGAGCTGTAACTGTTTTTGCACAATGTAGCTAAATGTGCACAAAAAACAATGCTGGAAGCCTATTTTTAATGGGCAGCTTCAATTTTTTTTTATTTTAATATAAAAATTTCTGTATTTGGTTACATGCAATGAACTGTGCCGTAATGAAATGCAATGAACTGTGCTGTAATTTGAGAAGTACTTGTTCAATTTTCGATCAGCTTGAAGTGTTGCACTCCTTAGGCTTTCTAGCATTCATTTATACGTCAATGGCCATGTAATTTTAAGTACATACATCTTTACAGTTAAAAATGTTAGAATTCTATGTTTTCTTCATTTTCTCAAAATGGCAATTCAGCACACCCTGCATGAAAATTACTGCAATATATGGGCAACTATTACAGATAGCAGAATACTTTTTTTGCAGCATGAAGCTATATGTTTGGGGCACACATCATAGGAAGCAGATTTTGATTTATCTTGATGCAAGTTTTTTAAACTAGTCTTTTGTGTGACCACACAATGGCCACATTCAGAGCTGTGAAGTTTAGTGTACTGTAAAGTAAGAAATAATGACCCAATCAAAAATGTGCTTCCTATGTTGTATGTCTTATACTTTCTACTGTCAATCCCTATGTCATTTATAAATTTTTGACAGGTGGTTATTTTTCCATTGTGGTAAGAACAATAGAAATTGTTATCTTGATTATTTAATTAACTAATGAAGCTACAGAAAAAATCACTGCATTTTTAGAATCAGCAGAACAAACTAAGTAAGCATGCCAACTTTTGTCACATTTGGTTCATAAAATTAATGAGAGAGCCCTAAGACCCATGTCCCCCCTTAAATTTACAATGCATTTTGCAATTTCAAAGTAAAGATATCAAGGACTAAGTTTGTTCATTGTAAAATAAATTTGTTAATGAACATATTTCAGCAATTTTACTGCAGCAACAATTTACAGTACGCTCTCATTAAACGGAACCTGAAAAGACCGGGAAAATGTGTTTCATTTAACAGGAGTTCCATTTATTGAGAGGTGAAGTGGGTTGCAGCATTCAAGTATAAAACCAATCATAACAGAGAAAGTTGTTCCATTTAAGCAGCCGCTCCGCTTAACGGAATTTCCGTTTACAGAGAGTCTACTGCTATTTTTTTTTGCCAAAAGATTGCTCATAAGTTAAACGAAACTAGTATTGCCAATAGTTGAAGTCGCAAATGTGGCGATCTCACAAGCCAACCACAGCATAATTATTAACGACACTATCGATAGGTAATAGCAGTAATAGTACCACCCATGGCACTGCCAATGGGCCAATCAATAGTTTCCTTACACTATTAGCAGCTAACTAAATGACAGTTCTACATCATTAGCACACCTACTATGCACCTAGAATGCAGAAAGCATTGTGGCACGAGTTATCAACTCGTTGCGTAAAAAACTGGTCACTTGCCTCGCATCCGTCGGTGACACAGGCCAACCTGGTCACAATCTCCTGCGCCTCGTCAGCGTCAGAGTCACGTGCCCGAAGGACTACGCACTCTCCCTGGTGGTAGAAAAGCTTCAGACTGGGAACGAGAGACATCACGTGACCAATCAGTCAAACTAACAGACACAAAAACAACCTGCCGCAAGACACAGAAAAACAAGCAAACTGATGTTTAAGCTTTAAAATAATGAGCTGCTTGTAATGTACAGTATGATGAAATCGAACAAAAAAAGCAAAATGAACGCCATATTTTCTCGCATGTAACTGAAACGAGATGTAGTACTCAGTTTGAAAGCTCCATGTTTCACCCACCTCTTTCTGCCCCGCTGCGCCCCCGATGGTAGCAGTGGAAAAGTGTAAATGTAGAAAAACTAGGAGCCCTTCCCATATTTAGAAAAGGGCGAGGGGGTGAATAAGTGAAGCTTGGCAAGTGTATGCCTAACCTGCTACATTTTAAAGACGATAGTCTTATTTGGGGACCTTTGATGCAAAGCTTTTGGTCTGTCTGTCTGTACATTTGTCTGTTTATCCCCCCTTAACGGCACCACAGGCATGAAACGATACTCCAAACGGCGGACCCCATCCGCAGCGCCCACCAATATTGCTCAAGTTTTAGCGTTCATACTTGTGCGATTGTCAATTAAAAAGCGATTATTGCACATATCCGAAACACCATAACAACACGGCAATATTCTGCATGTGTGCCTTTATACTTGAAAAGGCACACATAAGCAATTCCATGGATCAAAGCATTTCTCACGCTGCGCTGATAATACAACGCTTGCATGAAGAGGCAAGTATTTCCAACGCTTTGCTAAGACGACATGGTGGAGGCACCTACCCGTCGCCTTGCGTTCTACACCTTATCGCCTCTAAGACGCGTGTGCACGCCGCGTGCTTCGTTTTCCAAGATAACTGCCAGATAGCGCTCATGTCTCATGTGTAATGCGACTCGGTGCGCTCGTTCGCCTCCGCTGCACGCTCGAGGCACTCTGATGCAGCGCCTCCAGAATCCCATTCACCGATTTCCTTGCCCAGAACATCAAATAAACGTTTTGTTCACTCTCTCCAGATGCAAGGCTTTCGTCTTTCGACGAAATTTGCAGTGTAACATGCAGATACGAGTCCAATTTTTTTTCCTTCTTTTTTATCACATTGCACAACACTTCGTCCCAACTTTTTTCTTCTTCTATGCACGAGAGCACCTTCACCCCTGTGCTATTATCAGTGCAACATTTTGGTTGCTACAAGCAAAAATGACACTCATGCATGAAACAATCAAATAATCAAAGTAAAATGACTAGTGACCTTGATAAAACATCAGATAGCCATATGAACCACGGCTGATTGGCAACAAGCCCACCATTAACACAGCGTCAATTAGAGTATAGCAAAACAGAGCATACAGTAAAAGCTCGTTAATTCGAATTGCAAGGAGAAGCCACCTTAGTTTGAATTAATGAAAATTCAAACTAACGAAAGTGAAGAACAATAGTACACTGTGAGTAGGGCATAACAATTTATTTTTTGAAAAAATCTGTGATCGCGGTCTGCCTTCTTTCCTTGAAGGCGACAGCCAGCACTTTCTGCTCTAACGAGCGAATTTGGCGGAAGGTCTCTTCTCCGCCTTCTTCAAAACTTAAGAAAAGACAGGCGGCATTCAATCCGGCCATAACTTCCGCAGCAGAGGGCCGCGCTGGTGCTTCGTCCTCCTCCTCATCATCGTCACTGGCAGCGACAGATTCTGCACTTCTCACCTGACATATTATGTTGCCATCCGTGAGTGCACAACACACGACTGCACTTGAGTGCACTTGCGAACGCATTTCGTTTATCCAAATGAGAAGCGCTTTCTCGAGGTCAGGATACTTTGCAGGCCGCAACCTCCTCCTTTTGGTCGCAACTTCTGCCTCTAAGGCGTCTTCAATAGTCCTCCTATTTTTTATATGAGTAGATAGCATCGTTTTCGGTATCCCATGCTTTTTTGCGATATCTTGCTTAGGCAAGAGTCCGGCGTCCACTTCCCGCAGGATATCGGCTTTTTCCTGAAGTGTTTTGACACAGTATTTGCTGCGGGCACATGCCATCAAGTCGGAGCAGCAAAATCGCGACAGACGGGAAGCTACTACTGGCGCTACCGCAACAAACGTTAGCCGAGGCCTAACACCAACACAAAGAATCGCGACAGTCGGAAGCTACTCCCAGCACCAACAACCTAGGTGTACGAGGCACGCCTGAGACACTGCAGAGAAGGCTGGGCGAAGCTACGACGCATACGATTTGCTGTGTGCTGGTCATGCCCTCTGTCGTCTAACAGCGACAACTATGCAGGACTTTCAAAGGCTCCGAGATTGGCACTTAAAAAAAAAAAAAACAAATCTTGGAGGTTACGTAGGACGGACGGCAGGCAGCCGCCGAGAGAGAGATTGTGGGTGGTGAAGAGTAAGTGGCGCTATTTGCTGCACTCTGGCCTCCGTGCCAGTTTCTCTGTTTTTCTCTCCTCTCCGCTCCCTGTCCATGCTGCCTCGTAACTCGGCAGCAGTCCTATCGAATGACTAGCCAAGCCGCCGGTGGCGCGTAGTTGGAATTATCCGCGGCGGAACCTATTCGCAACCGAATTAACGGGCTTTTTTATTCATAGGCTTGTATGGAGCTTGGCCGGACCATAACTTACAGTTCCGAGTTATCCATAAATTCGAATCATTGAAGTTCGAATTAACGAGCTTTCACTGTACAAATATGCAATGTACTGTCATACCATCTAGGGCCTTATTTATGTAAATCCACATTTCTGTACACTCACTGCTTGAGTTTTTTACAGGCCGGCGAAATCCATCTGCCGGCGAAATCCATCTCTTATAACTTTGCATAAAAATCTAGCATGGTAACTAGCGCACCAGCACTGCAAGCTCGATGCTTACTATAGGCACAAACTTGTAAATGTTGTTAATAGGCCGTTTCTGGTCATAATCTGCCAATTGATTCTCACTGAAAGAAAACAAAAATTCCAGTACCGTCGGGAAAGTCAATGCTTTTTATTTACACTGAGATGAATGCATTTACCAGAAGGTGCACATGAACTGTGAACAAGCAGTCAGCACACGGCATTGTGCAACACTGTACCATGACAATCATAAAGCACCAAGGAGGCCAACCATTGGTTTTCTCGTCATTGAGTGCCGTATAAACTGAAATATAAGTTGAGATACAATACTCGCAATAAAACAGCGAGTTAAAGTCACCCGTAGTCTTATATAGCGGTGTCTAGCTGACAGTGCGCCGCTGTCTGGCAACACGTAGCTTGCATGTGCGTGAAAAGCCACACACGGCTATATCCACATCTAAATCTAACAACAGGCATATTTTTCGTGTGTGCCTGTATTTTTTGTGTTTGTAAAGTGATTATGATTTGTTCTGAGCTTTCGCTCCATTTGACATTGCATTTGATTTGTATCACATTTTTTTTCATTCACATAATACGAGTAGCGGCACGAGGAGGCAGTTCTCAGTGGCGTCTAAACTGAATGTTGCTAAGTTCGCAAAAGCAAACGACAACATGGCTGCTCAGCGCCGCTTGGGTGTTTCAGAAAAAAGCGTGCGTTGTTGGAGAGTGCAGAAAAGAAAGCTGCAGATGTGCGATCCTCGGAAAATGTTTTTTCGTGGGCTAAGAGTGGTTCATCCCCAGCTAAGGATACGCTACCAGACTTTGCAAGGGAAGTTCATGCGAGCTCGCTGCCAGTGAACTTAAATACCATTCACAACAAGGCTGTGCAGCTCGCTCAAGAAGCTGGGCTCACGAGAGAAGAGTTCCGTGCACTAAATTCGTAAGTGCGTCGATTCATGAAATTCAAGGATTTTTTCTTTGCTGGCACACATCCATCTGTCAAATGTTGCCGAAAGAGTTCGAGGACAAGCTTGTGAACCTTCAGCGCTTTGTAAACCAGCTTCAAGAACTGCACAACTAGGTCATGGGCAGATTGGCAATGCCGATGAGACTACCGTGTGGTTCGACACGTGTTTGTCGACCACGATCACGCAGCGTGGCGCCAAGGATGTGAAGCTGTTGTCCAATGGCAATGAGCACTCGCTCTTCACCGTCATGCCGGCTTGCAGTGAAAGACAGTAAAAAGCTTTTGCCCTTCATCATTTTCAAACAAAAAAACAATGCCAAAGAAACATTCCCACCAGGTGTTATTGTTGGCATCAACCAAAAAGGATGCATGAATGAGGCCATGATGCTTGAATGGATACGAGTACCGTATTTACTTGCGTAATCCTCGCACTCGCATAATTCTCGCACCCCCCTCATCGCCCAACAAAAATAAGATTTCTTTTTTTTCCTCGAGTAATTATCGTATCCCCGAAATGTCGTATGCTCGTTCCAGCCACTGATGATGATAGCCCGCACCATCTCCTAAGCATAGAGTACTATTATTGCACCGAGATTCAATCCAATTCAAGCCAAGCCAAAGTGGGAAGTGGATGTTGCGGCGTATTTTGTACGTTGTGCCCAAAATGTTACGACGTTATGAGAAGATACGAAAACTACACCGCTGCTTTTAAGCTGAGAGTGATTGATCTTGCACTAAACAAAGGCAACAAGGCCGCCGGTAGGTCCTTCGGAGTCGATGAGTGTTGTGTTCGCTTAATGAAAGCCACCAAGACGCGTTGGGCCTTCCGTGTGCCCAAGACTGAGATTGATGGTAAACTTTATTTCGTCAGAAGGCAACTGCGGACAATTCTGTTAAATGGCCATCATTCCAATACTGAAGTCCTACGCTTACCTTTTGCGGGCTCCTGTTGAGCCACGAATGCTGCCGCTAGGCCCACGAGCTTTGCGTACGGTATTCTAACTCTCGGCTATTCGCTTGTGCCTTCTGTGTCTAAAATAAATCTTGTCTTGTGTTGAAGCTGTGCTTTTATTGTTGAGGTAAGTTTTAATTAGTACTTCTTGAAGCTTGCTGTTAGTTGCTGGTGTGAGAATCCCAATTTGCGGCCACTTAGTTTTCTTTTTCGAACTGTATGTTTTCGTGGATAGTTTTCTCATGTAATTCTCGCACCCCCCAACTTTGCATCGGTTTTCCGCCAAAAAAAAAAAAGGTGCGAGGATTGTGCGAGTAAATACGGTAACCTGGAACCTTGGGCCAAGTGCACTGCTGCTTCCTCGCAGCATGCTTGTGTTGAAAGCGTTTTGTTGTCATTTGACTGATGCTGTGAAGTGCGCACTCGGCGATGGAAAAATAGACCTCATCGTGATACCAGGTGGTATGACGTCTACTCTCCAGCCGCTGCAACGTAGTGCTAAAAAAGCCGTTCAAGGACCGAGTGTGGATGGAGTATCACGAGTAAATGTCCGGCGACAACCCAAAGATGCCGACTGGCCGCCTCCGCTAGCGACTGTTTAGGGCAGGGTGCTTTTCGCCTGGCGTTTCTTGCCAGATTGCATGGTGGAAAATGCTTTTTAGAAATGTTGCATCAGCAACTTGCTGGATGGCATGGAACATGATGCACTGTGGCAGGCAGGCAGCAACAAACTCTCGTCTTCAGAAAAGAGTGGCGCTTCGTCTGATGAAAAAGAGCAGTTGCGATGGTGGTTAAGGGGAGCTCCGCCGATCAGAGTACAGCGCACCCGATTTGCAAATAAGTGTGCTTCAGCAATTTTAGGTTTTCCCTTTGTTTTTCTTTTTCGGTCACCTATACTTGGGGGGTCGACCTACACTCCCACTCGACCTATAGTCCGATTCATACGGTATATGCACAGGTTCACTTTAACTTTAAAGCTATGTGCTACAATTGTGCACAGTTTTTCACAGCCAAGAGTGGTGCGGGGACAAAGAAAGATAACATATTAATTGCCCTTGCCTTAGTCCGCTTAACAGCTGAAGCTATGACACGGAGGAAGCACATGATTAAAAAAATCTGGATGCTCTCATGCCCACGGACATCACCACTGAGCTTAGAATGCTGGTGGCAATGGTGAACCTACAATTTTGCTTTGAAGCACATGACTTATTTATGCATGGTCATGTATCGTATATTACCAATTATAAGTCCACATTTTTTTCATAAAATGGCCTCCCAAAGTTCGGGGGTCAACCAATACGCGGAATCGTAAAGATGATTTGGAATCATAAAGTCGGCTTTTCTGAGGGGTCCAACGAATGGTCGTCATGCTTGTCCTCAGATTCACTGCTATTCGACGCACTGATAACTTCAGTCATAGAGGCAACGGAGTCGCACTAACTGCTATCTCTCAATGCCCGCCCGCCACATTCGGAGCCGGACATTTTTACGATCTGCTAGGACGATCGCGAAACTACGGTCTAGCTATGGTGGCTAGAGGAGGCGGTGTCAGCAACGGTGCGTCAGAGATACAGCATTTTTTCATGACCCATGGCCAACGGCATCACGGTCTCAATGGTAGCACCACGGCATCGGCACGTCTGTCAGGCAAGATCGACAACAACACCTGCACTCACCGCATATTGGTATGACAGCGCATGAGCGCGAGATGCATTTATCGCTCACTGACAATGCAACACACGCTTATATGTCAGAAAAAACTCCGAGATGCATCTCTGCCTCCCAAAAAACATGAGGTTTACCGCCTGCGAAAAATGTGACATGCGTTTCTCGCTCTAGTGGCCAGCGGGCCCTAACAGTGCTTGCTAACTAGGTATAATTCAAAAATTCAGATTTCCCTGAAGCACCATGGGTGTTTCATGAAAAATCTGGAAGCGCCGTGTGGGATGGCAGCACTTTGCAAGGAACTAGACCACATGACCAGTCAAATATAACCTGCGCTAACCCATGAGCGTCATCACATATTGTTGCACTCACGATGCGCTCAGCCTGTTCGCTATTTCTGCATTTCACCTCGGTTGCAAGCAGTGAGTGTGCATTATCTGAAAAGCTGCTGAAGGGACGCCAAGATGCCACCACTACAGCGGCAACAGTACAGCGCTGCTTTGAAGTGGCAAGCCATCCTCTATGCAGAATCGGAAAGAAACGCTGAAGTAGGGCAAAATTTCGAAGTGTCCGTAAAGTGCTGGAGGGAATGGAGAAAATAAAAGGAACAAGATCTTTGCGCTGCATTGTGAAACGCCGTTCCTTTCGCGAACGAAAGTCTGCATGGTGCCCTGCTGTTGAGCAGGCAGTTCGAGATAGGGTTCATGACTAGATGAGCAAAAGCTTGAGTGTTTTCTATGATGATATTGAAGCAAAAGCACATTGTGAAAGATATGTGACTCTTGCTAACCGAGTTCAAACCGAGCTCTTTGAGTGAATAGGCACAATGGGTTAATTATGTCTAGTATGGACTGCCAACGGACATGGTCCGCCCAGCATTTTCCACGTGTGGCATCCCAGTAGCACCAGCAGCTCTTCCACGTGAGCAGCAGCAGTGGCTTGCGCGATGGCAACGAATCGTGATTTCTGCATCCTTCTGTCAAGCGGCGACGGGTGTTCAGCAATATCTCATGGCCAAATAAATGTTTCTTTGCACCACTTTTTCTTTTGAAGACTTACTGGTGTGCTATGGCAGCAGTATGAAGCTGTGTTTAGAGTTAACTTTTTTTTTTTGCCTAAAAAGGGTTTCAGAATTGGTAGGGTCGACTTAAAATTGGCAATATACGGTAATTTGCTCGTGTGAAGACATGCTCATTGTGTACAATACATCCGTCTATATGATATGTGTTCAAGGTCATGTGAATGAGCGTGTGCAGTTCGGGCCAACCAATGAAGGTGAAAGATTGCCTGGATGTTATACGACTGCCTGAAAGCATGGCGTAATTTCTGATGGAATGCACAAGTTCTGCTCCGAGTATGCATCTGCTAGCATAGTGGCAGCCACTGCTAGAGGTCATCAAGTGAAACGCCAGTGGGCTAGACAAGACAGATGCTTGGGCCAGTTGGTGATTGGGAATTGACATATTGCGCTGTGCAAATATGTTGGGCTAGACAGGCTGCCCCATGTCCCCATGAAGTCATTAGTAAGCTGTCTTTTACTGCTATTTACAATGTTTACACAGCCTTTGACTTATTCAACAGTAAAATCGCTTGGTATTTCTGTCGCTTTTCCGCTCAACTGCATTTTATTATTCTTTCCCTTTTATATCATGCTTCTTTCAAACAGGAAATTGCACTACACTTTTAATAAATGAAAATATCACAAACAAAACTGCTGCTCAAGTAGAACAACTGACTTTGATATCAATGCGTCTCTTACATGAATTATGCATCTCTTTTAATCTCTCAAAAACAAGACTTTTGAATGGAACATATTTCCCACACTTCTTAAGGTTACGTTCAGTTGTCATGTTTCTACGCGAATCCAATGACCTCAGTTCTAATATAAGAGACATTCTTGTCTGGACACGTTGATCCTAAGCATGACTTAATAATTGACTGAAGGTCTTACAGCAGTCAACAGGTTTGATATGATCTATCTTGCCAAGTATGTCACGATTGTGAACTGGCTGATGCATAATGCAGAATGGCGACCATTGACAGCCTCACCTGCTGCTGTGTGACGACCATCCAAGCACTGCTGCGGTCGCACAGCCAAAGACCGGCTCTCCTGTGGTCATCGTCTAGCAGCACCAGTGAGCTGGCCGAGATGCCCAGGATGCAGTCGCACACACAGCCTTGGCCCTGGTCTTCCACCTGAAGGTCACGTCGCATGTGAAGATTTTGCACTTTCGAATGGTCATGCAGGTACCACTGATCATTAATATAAAAAAGCAGCTGCACTCATACAAATTGGACCTAGAGGGGGGACAATGCTTTCAAAACATATTTCCTTATTTCAGAGCAAAGTCATTAAAACCGAGCTCATTTGGGACCAGAAAGGTTCGTAGGTACATGCCACAGATATTGAGCCAGCTCCACTACTTGCCTCCAGACTGGACACAGCAATATTCGCAGTATAGCCCAGCCAGGAGAAGTCAAGGGCATTGAGAGAGGGAAAGCAATGCATAGGCTCAGTGTAGGAGCCTGGCTGTAGCAAGGGCAAGAAGGTGGCAGAAGGTAAAGCATGGCTAATCATAAAAGTGCCCAGTGCAAGATGAGCTCACGTGCAGGATTAGCTCACAAATGTGCTAGGAAATGGAAAGCCAAGAAATAGCCAAGCAACTGCAATAGCAAAACATCAGGATAGCGAGAGTTCGGATGGTGCATGGCAATGCATAACTCCTTTAAACATTGCTAAACCTTGATCTACTTTGCCTAACTTTGCATTACTTTGAACTGCCATCGCTGATGGTTCACCTAAGCTCCACTGTCCCTTGATTTTTACGACGTCAAACTATTGAATTAAGTTTGTTGCACAACAAGGTTGCGAGAAGACCAGGCGAAAAAGCTGCACTGAGCAGCTTGAGGAAAAACTGGCCACCTCACACACTGAGCGATTACAGCAGTTCAAGGCATGCCCTATACCAAATGCATGAACAGAACAGCAGAAACAGTAAGCAAACACGGTAAGAAATAATGAACAAGGGCATAAGAAATAATGAACAATAACAGCATAAACACTTGAAAAACCAACATTGAGTCAGTTAAAACTATGCTTAATTTTTAGAGTTTTTTAATAAAAATTTCACAGCTTATAGGCATATACCATATATACTCCCATAATGACCTCGCTTTTTGTCTCGAATGCCTGGCAAACACACAATAACCAGTCGATCTGCTTTGCATGTGGCGGTCCCTGACCATATTGCCCGATACTGCGGTCGTGGCGGGCCTGGCTACACAGACGCCCGATCACTAGAGCAACTACATGGACCGACCCCCTTCTGGTTACGAAAGTTCGGATCCTCAGCCTAGCACGCCTTCAGGTGACTATCCAGCAACTTCGTCTTGTCGCTCACCTTCACCCAATCATCGCTCCTTGTCACCCATGCGTCCACGACGGGTCCCTCAAAATGAGAGAAACAAGCCATTGCAATGCAGGAGGCAAGAACTGCACTATTAGGAACGCTCAAGTCCTCGAACTTTGCCGTCAATTATTATCGAAGTTTTTGTATACGGCGCCCATGCATACGCTTTTGTAGGTACCAGTGTCGCCCTGTTCGTTATGGACGCTAAACTTAGCTGCCAGCTGTAAAAAGTGACCATGCCGCTTGATAAGATGTGTTTACGTTCAGCGAATGGAGAACCTGTTCGACCTACAGCCTTCTGCACTGCCCGACTCACCATCGCAGACGACCACTACATTGTTTAATTTATTGCCTTTCCTCCTGCTCTCATGATACCATACTTGGCTGGGATTTCCTATAGCGTGATCACGCCGTTATAGATTGTGCCTGTTCCGAACTTGAACTGCTGCCAGTGGTTTGACCAGCCCTGCAACCACACGCATCAAACCGTACACAAGCTAGTTGTCAGAGAAGACACCGACATTCCACCGAGAGCAGCTGTTTTACTACCTGTGTTCTCTGACGGCATGTGTGATGAAGTAGCACTCTTTGAGCCATCAATCCTCTTTCCAAGCCGGAAACCACTTTTTATCCTTTATTCCATCCTCTCAATTTCTAATGGAGCCAGTGCTCTCTGCCTCACTAATCCCTTTCCGTACACCATCAAACTGTTTGAAGGCGAATCTCTTGGATGCATGCAGCCCATTGATAAGGGACAACACCATGCAGCAAGAATCATTTTGAAGTTACCTCGCCGCCGTCAGTAGCCTTGACCGACTCTCGAAAGTATTTGATTCGATGATCACAGACGGACTTTCGCCATCTGAACGATCTGATCTCCTCCAACTGCTGTACCAGTTCCGCGAATCTTTCGATGTTGTTGAACCCGCACTTGGCCACACTTCTACCACTCTTCATTACATCGATACAGTAAAAACTCGTTATAATAAAGTGAGATATAAAAAACTCATGTATAAACCGAAGGAATCGTAATTCCCCTTGAAATTCCTATAGACGCCTATATATTTAAAATCTCGTTTTAACGAAGCGAAAAATTTCCTCACAATGAATATAACGAAGCATACTATGTCCACAACAAGCATTTACTGATCATTTTGAAATACATCAAATCGATATATTATAGCGTGCGACAGTTTACGTCTCATCACGACTACGGTAATTCAAAACTCGCGTCTTGCGCTCCCTGGGAGCCACCTTCCAACAGGCATGTGGAGCAAGTCTTCCGGCCTCCCCTTTCCTCAGAAACTAATGCGCTTGCCCGCGCAGCAACTCGCACGAGCGTGCGCGTCAGCCGGCCTTCCCTCTCCTGTAGAGCTGGTTGACCCGCCCGCGCATCTGATCTCCTTCTCCCCTTCAGCTCTGCGCCAGAATGGCGGAGATTGTGGCTTTGTTCTTTGTTGTTCGCTGTGGAAGAGCAACACCACCTGTATCAGTTTCCTCCGCTAGACACGAGATGTACAACGGCAGCGGCAAACGTAGGCACAAAAATATAACAATCAAGCAGAAGTCATCAATGTTGAAACCTGTTGAGTGCAGCGTCAAGAAACAAAACAATAACCGAACATTTCGGCGATGTCGCCAGTGGGTGCTGCGGGCAACCAGGCCCCTACGTTGTGGGATGCTCTCCATGACGCCTGCGTTGCGCCTAACTGCGACACTTTCTGCACATACGTTGGTGCCAACTACTGACGTGGTGACAACCGAAAAGTTGTCAGATGCAGGGATTGTGCCCGCGGTGACGGGGATGCATGACGACAGTGATGAATGTGTCAATACCCCAGAGCCTAATCTTGGCGAAACCAACATACCGACGCCTGAGCAAGCGCTGGATGCGACAGACAGACCTGTTGCGCTGCTTCTTTGATGCTTGTGATGACGGCGAAGACAAACTCAAAATAGCTGCTGCAGCTGAAAAAGCAGTCATCCTTGTGAGGAATACCGCATTTACTCAATTCTACCGCGCCCTCAATTATAACGCGCACTCGGTTTTCACGACGAAAAAAAAAAAAAAAAGTAAGACATCGATTGCAATGCGCACCCATTTTTCTCGTTGGCCCGCACGATCACACTACTCGGGAAAACGACTCCTTTCGGGAGCGCTTCCGTTTAAATATGAGGTACGGGGGAAGCTTGTGCTTATCTGACATGCAACGGAGCATTGCGTCACTCTTGTTTTACCGTGGCCCGATGTCAGCATGCGAACTTGCTTCGCCTCTTCTTCTCGACGGTTGTGGTGCCAGGCATGTCGAAGTAAAGAGGCGTCTGATCGGCATTCCCGATTTGCCCAAGCAGGTAGCCGTTGTTGTGCCGCAAGTTTCGAACAAACTTCTGAAAACTGTGAAGCCTTTCTTCGTACTCCTCCAACAAGTTTTGGCGCATGCCCGTTCGTTTTCGGAGGGAAAAGCCTTTCCTCTTCGTAAAGTTAGTTAGCTAGCACCTGCTCGCTTTGAACTGGCTCCGCGTTAGCCCTTTTTGTAAAGCTGACTGCATAGCCCGCACTTAGAGCAGTTCTGTCGTCACGGGCTGCTGTGCTGCTCGCTGCTCAAGCATATACTCGGCGAGCAGCTCTTCAATTTGCGGAAACCGACCCTGCTGTGGTCGACTGAAGCCTTTGCATGAATCTTTGACAATCTTCTGCTTTTGTTTCCGCCAGTCCCACACGCACGTTTCGGGAACTCCGAACGACCGCAATGCGGTCCGATTTCCGTCTGTTTCGGCACATGCGATGACTTTTCTTTTAAAAGCGGCATCGTGGTGCACTCGTCAAGTTTCTGGAGTCGGCCCTTCCATGCCGTCGATGCTAATGAACTACAAGATGACGAACTCCTCAGCACACGTACGAAGTGCCGCACATGGGAAGCACATAGGAAGAAATGGCCGACGCGCCATGCCGAACAACACAGGGGGCGGCCCTTTTGGAAGTGCTGATGGCAATAGAATGACCGTATTCATTTTTTTTTCGCACTCGATTTTAACGCACATGCGATTTATGAACTCGCTTAACCAGAAAAAAGGTGCGCGTTAGATTCGAGTAATTACAGGTAGTTGGCAAAAGTCTATTAAGGACTATTTTTTTTCAAAGTGATCTGCCAGCTAGTGTGCTGAATTCGGCGAAAATGAAGTGCATTGTTCATTAACTTGCCGTTTTTTTTTTTTTTTTTGCCTTACGACGGCCGTTTTTCTCTGCGCGGCATGCTGCTGTGATATTTGGTGGTAAGTACATTTTCTCTTGCTGGCTAATTGTCGGTAAAAATGAATATTGGCTATAACAAAGTAATGGTTAAAACAAGGTAATTAAGACTTCCCCTTCAACTTTGTTATAACGAGGTTTGACTGTACCAGCTCTCATGTGCCTCTTTGGCAATGACCATACCGTGTTTTCGCGCGAGAACGCCAGGTTATTACCGAGCAGGTGGAAGATATGCTCCAAAATAGCGTCATTCAACCTTCACGAAGTCCATGGGCCTCACTTGTAGTGCTCATTAAAAAAAAGATGGTTCCATTCGCTTCTGCATGAATTACCAGCGCTTAAATAAGATCACTCGAAAAGACGTGTACCCTTTACCGATGATTCACGATGCCCTTGATACTTTACAAGGTGCCGAGTTTTCCTCATCGTTAGATTTGCATTCAGGGTACTGGCAGGTGCGCCTTGCAGATTCTGATCAACCAAAAATAGCCTTCGTGACACCCGACGGCCTATATGAATTTAATGTCATACCCTACAGTGTCTGCAATGCACCTGCCACCTTCGAACGCATGATAGGCTCGGTTTTTCGGGGATTGAAGTGGCAAATATGTCTCTGCTATCTCGACGATATTGTCGTTCTTGTGCCAGCTTTGCAACATATCTCGAGCGCCTGAAACACGCCCTATGTGCCTGAAGAATGCTCAGCTCCAACTCAACCTCAAGAAGTGCCAATTTGCTGCTTGACGACTTTCTCAGTTACGTTGTATCAAAGGGTGGCATACTTCCAGACCCGGCTAAATTACATGCTGTTGCCGACTTCCCCAAACAAACGACTGTAAAGTAGTTACAAAACTTCGTAGGGTTATGCTCATACTTTCGCCGGCTCGTGCTCAACTTCGCCTCTATTATTGGTCCTTTGACCGAACTTCTAGGCTGCGCCACCGATATTTCGTCATGGTCTTCGGAGTGTGACCAAGCCTTCTCCACCCTTTGTCGTCTCCTCACTTCATCACCAATATTGTGTCCCTACGATCCTACGGCGGCAACTGAGGTCCACACCGACGCCAGCTAGTGTCAGCCTCGGTGTGGTTCTCATGCAACACAAGCCTGAATTCGTCGAGTATGTCATCGCATACGCCAGCAGAACTCACACCAAGGCTGAATCAAACTACGGTGTCACCAAGAAGGAATGCTTGATGAACGTTTGGACACTTGTCAAGTTCCGCCCATACCTTTATGGTCGTACTTTTGATGTAGTAATGAACCACCACGCACTATGCAAATTATCTTCGTGCAAAGATCCATCGGATCATCTTGCCCGTTGGGTGCTCCGGCTTCTAGACATCCGCATTGTATACCGTTCCGGCCGCAAGCATACCAATGCTGATACACTGTTGCGATCCCCACTATCCCCTGACATTGCATCGATTTCCTCAGACCAGACATTGTCAGCTCTTGATGTGGACACCATCTCTCCTGCAAAACACAATGATCCATGGACCGCTTCATTTCTTGATGCGTTATCCAAGGCACAAACACATCGGACCACTCGAACCCTGCACCGCCAGGCTCCACACTTTAGTATTCAAGATGGCCTTTTGTACCGGCGCAACTATTCAGCAGATGGCAGAAAATGGCTACTAGTCATTCCCCAAACCCTGCTCTCTACAATCTGCACGTCATTTCATTCCGACCCGTAATGTGCTCACACCGGTGTCTTCAAGAACTACGAGTGCTATGGAAAAGGTATTACGGGCGTGGAATCTTTACCTTCGTCCGCCAGCTCATTCGTGGCTGCCACGAATGTCTGTGGCGGAAAAACCCGCCACATCCTGCAACAGGTTGATTGCAGCCACTTCTATGCCCAGACCGCCCATTCAACTGCATTGGAATTGACTTCTACAAACCACTGCCATTAATAACGACAGGCAACCGATGGGCTACCGTGGCTGTTGACCATCTTACACGGTACGCTGAAATGACTTCTACGAACTACTGCCATTAATAACGACAGGCAACCGATAGGCTATCGTGGCTGTTGACCATCTTACATAGTACGCTGAAACTGCTGCTCTTCCCACAGCACAAGACGTCGCATCTTTCATCCTCAATCATTTTGTGCTTCGTCATTGTCCTCCTCACGAACTCCTCAGCGACCGTGGGTGTGTACTCCTTTCCAATGTAAACCAAGCACTTCTTCAACAGTGCCATACTGTACAACGAAAGCGTACAGCCTACCATACACAGACGAACGGTTTTACTGAACGGTTTAATCGTACTCCGGGTGACATGCTCGCAACACGTGTCGCTCCCGATCAAACAAACTGGGACCTCTTTCTTCCATTTGTGACATACGTGTATAACACCGCTATGCAAGTCAATACTGCGTTTTCCCCATTTTTAGGAGCGAAGCTCCTTGAAGCGTGGGCTGAGCGTCCCGTCGTAGTCGTATGCAGCCAACTCTTGTTAGTTCTTGAATCGGCCTATGAGGGCGGTACTTGTACATATAACGAAATGCACATACGCTGAAAATGCAAATGGTACGATACTAGGGGACGTTACTTGTTGTATGATAAGTAATGAATATCACAGCATATTCGTGACGTGAATGATGATGAGTGTGGCGAAGCGTCCGCCATTTTGTCCATCCGTGCATTCGTCCTTTCATCCGTCCGTGCGTCCGCCCTTGTGTCCATCAGTTCATCCGTGCGTCCGTCCGTCCATTCGTGCATTTGTCCATGCGCTCGCAAAATCCCGGAATAATTTGCGCACCCCCTTCTAGGGCCCCCAAAATCGACAAAAAAGCACGCAAATTATGCGAGTAAATAAGCTGCAGTCGCCAACCGATTTTTCGTACTCCAAAAGTTCGGACTTGTTTGATATTTTGGACTTAAAAAGTGCATCGCCAGGGTTCCCATATGGCTAATGCATTTTTCCGACCAAATTTTCGGACGAATTTGACACTGAAAGTTGGATATTTTGGACTAAATCGCTTGTTTTGAGCTGCGCCACGAAATATTATGGACGCCGCCATGTTGAATTTTTCACCGGCTTGACTAAGCTTTGTGGCTTAATTTTAAAATGCCTTTTCTGCCTCCGAGATTGGAAAGCGAACGTCATATTTCAAGTTTCTGAGGCCGTGTCTGCTTTAAAAAACGCGGAACGAGACCATTGTTTCGTCATTGGTCAGCCATAGTGGTCAGCACTATCGTCATCGCGCCGTACAGAAAGGAGGCAGAGCTGCGCAGTGGTGAAGTGAATGTATAGTTGTAGTATGGTCACTAGAATAGTGAATGTGCCTGCCACGATGACATTTTCACTCACGCGTACGATGACAATTTCGTGCGCACAGCCCACAGACGAAGAAATTCTTCGCCAGGTTATGCCGCAGCCGGCGAGCGGTTCAGATGATCATGACGATGATCGCCCGCAGCAGTCGCCGGCGGAGATCTCCACCGCGGTGGCGCTTTTGTCGAGCGTTTACGGTGACGATGTCCCCTTGGCGCAAATACAGGCGAATGAAATTGCTTCCAAGTGTCGTATGAGGCAATGCAGAGACTCGCTCTCTGGATTTCGTGCTGACCGGTTGTGCCCCCGCGATCTCCAACGTCAGCGCAGCTCTGGCCGACTGGCTCGCCCAGCACCATTTCCTGCTGTCGACAAGAGCTCTCGATGAGTGGTGCCTTGTCCTCGGACTCCTGCGACCGTGTCCATCTTTCCTATCTCCTCTTTACTTCTGTCGTTTTCTGTCGTTCGCTATCCTTGCATCTCGCTCTTTCCTTCCCCCTCTCTATCTCTATATCTTTAATCCTATCCCTTTAATCCCACCCCCTCATCCCTCGTGAGTTACTGTTGAGGTGTTGCTTTCTGATGCAGACAGTTACGGGGCTCACTTTTCTCTTCTTTTCTCTTTAAGAATCACATAGGAAAGGCAAAGCAGAATCATGGACTTTTTTTTAAACCTGCCTGATGCAAAGAAGTTCATATTTCTGACAAAAACGACTTTTTTGGACTGTTCGATTTTTTGGACTTCTTTTCGGTCCCCGCCAAGTCCGAAAAATCGGTGGGCAACTGTATATACAACTCAAATTGAATTGAAAATTATTCTAACCAAATCACTATTCCCATTGAACCTCAAATTAACTATTTGTACAAGCCTAGTGAACACACTTGAAAACAAAATGTGTCATCATAAAGTCTCTTCGTCCTATTACACAGAGATGTGGTGCCACAGAACTGTCTACGGCATATTCATCCTAGCTAAGTTATTCATCCTAGCTTCAGCTAGCAAAAGCTGGACTGAGGTATGTCAAGCGTATGTCATTAGTGTCATGTCTGCTGCTCCCACATTCAAACACACCGATGCTGACCAATGCTGCAGTAACTGTTAATATAAAGGCATCCTTACTCACCTGCACCGACCAAGAGATGGCACCCCGCACGAAGCCGTCTGGCACAAACCTAGGCCTCGGCCTCTCCTTCTTGCGTGACCCAAAGCTCAAAAGAGCTGCAAATATATGACGAAGAATTGTACGTCAACAAAATAGCCTACGTGTTGGCACACAAAATACAACATATGGACACAGTCACAAGCAACGACGTAGTATAGAGCCGAAAGGTAAGCCCATATGTATTTTTCACAAAGAATGATTTAAGTCAATGAGACCTAAACTTTCTTTATCAAATTCACGTGCATTTCCTTTGCGACTTTTACAGCGAAACCTACTTAAAGATAGCAACAGCTGAGTTAGGCGACGTTGTCGTCTGTCACCACGACTAGTGTCTGGAACTACTATCATGCGAAAGAAGAAAAAAAAATGCAGGATTTTGAATCCGAGCCCACTGCATGGCAATCTAGTGTTCTACCACAGAGCCACGCCTGTGCTTGAAACTCCTACACAAAAGCTACTTATGCAGGCACCGTGTCAAGCGAGGAATCACGTTACCCTATGTAATCAAGCATGGTAGAAGAGTACCATGAGAGCCAGGCATCACATGAAGAGAATTGCACAACGAGTAGGTTATTGAATTTCAACTCATTACAAAGGGCTCAGCAATAGTTCTTAATTGTAATCGACACCGGCATCAATAAAGTGCGAGTGCACTCTGTTGATTCCGCAGTTGCTTTACAGATATGCAACGGATGCCTTAGATTCTCTGAAGAATAACAAATAATGGCATAATAGGTACTTCCCTACATAAGTAAAATTATGATGGCTTGTGCCATAGTGCGTGTACTTGTAGCGGCTGCCCCAAGAAAGTTTACAAAAGGCTCCAGAAAGGCCGTTATTCCAGCTTCTACTGTTACTGCGCTGCACGTTCCACGCATGCCTGGCGTTTCTGCTACAAATGAATCATTGCAATTTTTTCTTTTTGCGATGATGTTTATTCAAACAGAGGAGTCGCAGCGAGGTCGCGACGGAAAACAGGCGTACGGCAAGTCTGGCGAAGGCGGCACAGGTTCTCGCGCAATCAGAGCACGGGGTTTTCCGTTCTGCTTGAAAGGCGCATACGCGTTAGTGCGTATGCTCCACTAAAATACCCCCTCCCCTGAGTGAAGAGTAGCCATCCTGGCGACTCAGGGAGTAGGCACAATGAGGGGGTTGTAGTAGGGCTTGCGACGGTCGACGTGCACGGTCTCGCGTCCTCGACGGCGCAAATCTGGCGATTGTGTTAGGGGCTCGATGATGTAATTCACCGGCGAGGTTGCGTCAATGACATGGTGTGGACCATGGTACCGGGCGAGAAGCTTAGAAGACAGGCCAGGAACAAAGCCACACAAGGGAGCCAGTACGAAACATGGGCACTATGTGATGAACGTCGTCATGCCGGGTTTTTTGTAGACCTTGAGCCTTACTTGTCATAGACCGAGCCAACTGACGGCAGTCTTCAGCGTATCTGGCGACTTCCGAAAGCGGGGAGCACTCTGATGCATCAGGGCGGTACGGGAGTATAGTGTCGAGTGGGTGAGAAGGTTCGCGGCGGTACAACGGAAAGAACGGGGAAAAACCGGTAGTCCCTTGCGTCGCGGTGTTATAAGCGAAGGTAACAAAAGGCAATACAGTGTCCCAGTTAGTGTGGTTGGAGGAGGTGTACATCCTCAGCATGTCGCCGAGTGTGCGGTTGAACCGTTCAGTGAGACCATTTATCTGTGGATGGTATGCGGTAGATTTCCAGTGGATAATATTGCATTCAGCGAGAATAGCTTGGATGACCTCCGACAGGAACACTCGACCCCTATCACTGAGCAATTCCCGTGGAGCCCCATGGCGGAGAATGAAGCTGCGCAAAATGAAGAGTGCAACTTCGTGGGCGGTCGCTGTCGGTAGAGCTGCAGTCTCAGCGTAGCGTGTCAGATGATCGACGCCGACAATAATCCACCGGTTTCCAGAGCGACCATATGGGAGGGGGCCATAGAGGTCGATACCCACGCAGTTGAATGGGCGAGCCGGGCATGGGAGCGGCTGTAACATGCCAGTAAGGTGCCGCGGAGGTGTCTTGTTCTGTTGGCAAGTGGTGCAAGACTGAACGTATTTCTGCACAAAGCGATACATTCCTCGCCAGTAATATTGTTGGCGCAGCCTTTCGTAGGTTTTCAGGACAACTGCGTGAGCACTTTGGGGATCTGCATGGAAATTCATGCAGATGTCAGAGCGCATATGAGTTGGGACAGCAAGGAGCCACTTCCGACCACCAGGCATATAGTTGCGGCGGTACAAAATGTTGTCTCGCACGGAAAGGTGGGCTTCTTGTCGGCGTAGCGCTCTCGTGGAAGGGACAGCAGACGGATCGGTAAGGTAGTCGAGTAACAATGCAAGATATGGGTTTTTACGCTGCTCTGAAAGCATGTCAGTGGTGTCGATTGGTGACAAGGTGGTAAAAAGGGGTGACAGAGAAGCCAAATCTGGTGTTAATGGCGATCGCGAAAGTGCATCGGCATCTGTATGCTTGCGACCAGAATGATATACGACACGGATGTCGTATTCTTGCAATCGAAGTGCCCAACGGCCCAGGCGTCCGGACGGGTCTTTGAAGGTGGACACCCAACATAGAGCGTGATGGTCTGTGACCACGTCGAAAGGACGGCCGTAAAGATACGGGCAAAACTTCGTCAATGCCCAGATTATGGCCAAACACTCCTTCTCTGTCACGGAGTAATTCAATTCAGCCTTCTTAAGAGCGCGACTTGCATAGGCGACTACGTATTCGGCTTGGGTGCCTTTCCGTTGTGCCAAAACTGCACCAAGACCGATGCCACTTGCATCGGTGTGAATTTCTGTGGCAGCAGCAGGGTCGTAGTGACGAAGAATAGGTGGTGAGGTCAGCAGGTGGCGCAGCTGGCGAAATGTGTCGTCACATGCAGGTGACCATGAAGATATACCTTTGCTGTTGGAAAGCAGACTCGTGAGAGGTGCGATGATGGACGCGAAGTTGCCCACGAAGCGATGAAAGTAGGAGCAGAGACCGACGAAACTTCGTAGGGCTTTCAGTGATGTGGGTAACGGAAAGTCAGCGACAGCTCGAAGCTTATCGGGATTTGGAAGAACACCGTCTCTTGTGATGACATGTCCCAAGATGGTTAGTTTTCGTGCTGCGAAGTGGCACTTCTTGGAGTTAAGTTGTAGGCCTGCAGAAGTTAGACACGTCAGAATCTCGTGGAGGCGAACAAGATGTGTCGGGAAATCAGATGAAAGGACTACGATGTCGTCCAGGTAACACAAGCAAGTTTTCCACTTATGGGCACGCAAGATGGTATCGATCATGCGCTCAAATGTGGCAGGTGCGTTGCAGAGCCCAAATGGCATGACTTTGAACTCATATAGGCCATCCGGCGTTACAAAGGCTATTTTAGGGCGACCACATTCAGCCATTGGTACCTGCCAATACCCAGAACGCAAATCCAAGGATGTAAAGTACTCGGCGCCTTGTAAACAGTCAAGAGCATCGTCTATTCGTGGTAGCGGGTAGACATCTTTCTTTGTAATCTTGTTTAAGCAGCGATAGTCCACGCAAAATCGAACGGTGCCATCTTTTTTCTTTACCAGAACCACAGGTGATGACCAAGCGCTTTGAGAAGGCTGTATGACTCCACGTTTAAGCATGTCATCTACTTGCTCCGTAATGACGCGGCGCTCTTCGGCGGAAACGCGGTAAGGACCTGTCGCAGAGGCGAATGTGACCCGGTGTCAATAGTATGAGTGACAGTCGTGGTACGGCCCAAAGCAGGTTCTTGAAAGTCGAAAGAAGAGCGAAACTTGTTAAGGAGAGCAACAAGTTGGCGGCGATGCGAGAGGGGAAGGTCTGCGTCAATAGCGTTGTCGAAGGCTGACGAGCTTGATTGCTCAGACGCACGAGTGATTGCGGCAATGTGACATGGCGTTTCGTCGGGAAGAATAATATTATCGATATGGTCGACAGGTTGCACCTATCCTAATGTTTCGCCACGAAGTAAGCCAATGGGGTAGTTGGAGTGGTTGGTAACCAGCATTACGGTTAAACCAGACGCAATTGTAAGAACGGCAAATGGAAGAACGATGCCCTTGCGTTCAGTAAAAACCGGAATTGGCGTAAACACCACCGTGGCGTCAGGTTGCGCCACACATGAAAGGCTTATAGGGACCGAAGCTTCAGGGGGCAAGGTGATGTCGTCGTCAGCGATGAGTTTGCAGAGCAGAGAAGAACAGTCGGGAGGTGGAAATTCACATGTTGGCACAAGGGACACTTCGGCATGGGAACAATCGATGATAGCTTCATGACGTGATAAGAAATCCCAACCGAGGATAAGTTCATGAGAGAAAGATGGTAGAACAAAAACTGTACGACGTAGAAAACATCTTGGATGACGACGCGCGCCGTACACACAGCCGAGGGATGAATGCGTTGCGCGCTAGCCGTGGACAGTACCATGCCACGGAGAGATGTGGTCACTTTCTTCAGTTTCCAATAAAAGTTTGCGTTCATCACATAAACTGCGGCCCCGGTATCAATTAACGCTAATGTGGCGACTCCCTCAACATCGACGTCAACAACATTTCGCAGCGAAAACGGAGGCCTTGGGAATTGCGCACGAGTTGCAGTTCTTGCCTCCGGAACTGCACTGATTAGTTTCCCTCCTCAGGAGGTGGTCGACGACGCATAGGCGATGGCGATCGGCGACGAGGGGATGGGAAACGAGCAGTCGATGGGCGGCGATCCGAATCTGAGTGCCTCTGTTCATATGCAGACGTGGTGGCCTGCTGCGGCGCGTAGGTAGGAGCTCCGAAGTATGCGTGAGCACGTGTGGGACGGCGGCGGCAGAAGCGTACAACGTGGCCAGCGATGCCACACGCGAAGCATATAGGACGATTGTCTTGGGTGCGCCACTCATTAGATGGACGGAAAAAGCGAGGTGGGGGCCTGTAAACTAGAGGCGAGGCCAGATGAGGTGGAGCCGATAAGGCGACTGGATGCGGTGGGGGCCCCACGACCACAGCTGCGTACTGAGAGGTGAAGATGGCACAGGTGGTGCGTAGCCGGCAGTTGATAGATCAGATGGTACCGAAGTGCATGGGTAAGGGGCCGGAAACGTAGGTATGGGTAAGGGGCCGGAACTGTAAATTTCAGTGCGTATAGTCTGCTGCAGTGTCGAAGGGAGGCTTGTGGTGGGCGCGTCGCTATGCGGCAGCAGGGAGAGCTGTCGGGCGACTTCCTCCCTGATGAAGTCTTTAATCTGGTTCGACAGAGTTCCTTGGCATACGTTGCCGTTTGCGAGTGCGATGGCCGAGATTGAATCTGGTGATGGGACACTCTGTCGGGCGGTGGAACGCTGACGACGCAATTCATCGAAGCTCTGGCACGGGCTTACGAGGACTGCCACCGTGGTCGGGCTATTCGCCAGCAACATCTGGAATGCGCCATCTTCAATGCCTTTGAGAATCTGTTGAATTTTCTCTTCTTCAGGCATAGATGGGTTCACACGCCTGCAGAGGTCGAGCACATCCTCAATATAACTAGTAAAAGTCTCGCCAGGCTGCTGGGCTCAGTGGCGTAGACGCTGCTCAGCGCGGAGTTTGCGGACCTCTGGTCGGCCGAACGCTTCAATCACGAGGGTCTTTAAGGTGGACCAGTTGGCGATGGCGGTTTCGCGGTTGGTAAACCATAGCTTAGCGACGTCAGCCAAGTAAAAGATAACAGAGGCGAGCTTAGAGTCGTTGTCCCACTTGTTGCTGGCACTTACGCGTTCATACAAGGAGAGCCAGTCTTCGACGTCTTGCTCACCACTGCCGCTAAAGATTGGTGGGTCCCGCTGACGGGTAGCGCCGGGGCAAGTCGATGGTGCTGGCTGTGTTGGGATGGGCTGGTTGGCGACTGCGTCAGTCATGTTGTACGGTGGTCTTTCGGCCAACTTGCGAGAGCGGAGCTCCAGGTCTGCTTAGGGATCTCAGCAGCCAAATGCGATGATGTTTATTCAAACAGAGGAGTCGCAGCGACGTCGCGACGGAAAACTGGCGTACAGCAAGTCTGGCGAAGGCGGCACAGGTTCTCACGCAATCAGAGCACGGGGTTTTCTGTTCTGTTTGAAAGGCGCATACGCGTTAGTGTGTATGCTCCACAACACTTCCATTAACCTAACAGTTTTTGGAAATTTCCACAAAACTAATTTGCCATCTGAAATAGTGTAGCAAAAACCTTTTAATGTTTTCTGTTTGTTACAACTTGTTTAGGGTGATCACTGAGTGCCATCTTCATAGCCCAAAGCAGAAAACAAATGTTCTTCGCTCCGTCAAGAAAAAAAATTTTCAGCAAGAGTGATCTTAAGCGACAGGCACTTTTATCTCCAATAGATTATTCTGGTAAATGTATAGCAACATCGTTTTTAGCTAGCCAATTATTTTTAGCTGCTCACAGTTACCAAGCTCACGGTTACGAAATACATAAAATCACATGGGTGTGGTATAACGAACAGGTGACATGTATAGCATGTATACTGTATTTACTCACATAATAGTCCCACATTTTTTCAAAAAAATCTGGCACCAAGTTTTGGGTGTGCCTATTACGTGAGGTAAAATTCCTGAAAATTTTATTTCAGAATATAGCATAAACCACTCATAATATAAGTCACCGAAGTCGTGAATATCCACACTACAGCTGAAACAACTTTTTTCATAGGCAACGCGTGCACAAATGAGTTCAGCCAAGAATCGAGGCATGTGTTGCGGTATGCTTACAAGCGTCCAAATTTCCAAAAATTAACATTGAAATACCCTAGTGTTGCTAAAAAATGAATGTGAGAAAAAAAAACTATGAAAAGATAGCGCCATTGCTGAAATTCACCGATTACGTCTCAGGCTGCATAGATAATACGCATTAACACAACCAAATATTTGTGTGCTGAACGTTACTGGACGTTCATTTCACGGGCTTGCACCCCATATTTAAAGACGTTAAATCTGAATAGCGAACGAACCATCTTTGGAGTGTTAAAAATGCCACCCATGCACCTTTTATTTTTTTTTTTCAAGTAGAGCAACCACAAAGAGTTATGTCGATTCCACACAAAACAGCAATTTTAATCACCCGCAACCACCACCGTAAAGTAACCAACACTTATTAGGCCTAGCCTACAGTTCAGCATGTCGTCGCAGGAAGTTTGCACAAGACAACATGAAGATTGGGCATCGAAAAGATCGCACTGAAGCACTGATTCAAGGGCAGTGTGTGTCATAAGATGTTTAGGTTTGTGGCTGGGAAATCAACGGCGACAGAAGTCCATTGTGCTTTTGCAAGTCCACATAGTGGCAACAAAGGGGGAAGCTCGCATCAGAAAGCCGAAAATCTTTAAAACTTGCCGACTAAGTAGCAATTGCGATAACAACAATGCTTTTCCCAACTGTAAAGTCACAGAGCACTTGATAAGGACATGATTGCATGTTCCATGCGCGGCGCATGTTCCATGCGGCAACGTCGACAATGATGCAAAGGTTACTCAGACGGCCAGGCAACCACCCTTTTTCTTCACTCAGCGAGCCCGCGCAGCACTGCCTTGGTCTTTTTTTTTATTTTATATTTTCCTCACTCCAGAGAAGTAAAGGGCATCGAATTGACACCAAAGAAATATGGTACAGAGCCACTGATCCTGGCCAAGTTTGGGGTGCACATATTATTCGCAGAAATAAAAAAGATCCAATTTATAAAGACCAAACTGGGTAAGGGCCAGTTAATTGTACAATGGGTAAACTTTTTGCACGCTACAGGGAAACAGAATCGATGAAGAAGAATACGGGACATCACACACACAGAAAAGATTGTCAGCTTGCACTTGCGCTGTCTAGTATTGGTCCTCGTCCATTTTGTTGCCTTGTCGCGGCCACAAAGTTTACATTCATGTCAAAGGATAGTTGTTCTAAATGTAGACAATCAAGACAAGACACCATTCAACGAAGAGCCATCAGAGATCACTGCGGGCATCTGTAGCCACCACTGAGAGTACTGCGAAGAATCAGATGACCACTCACAAAATTTGGGTCCTGAGTCGAGCGTGGTGTTGGTCGAGTAGTTGGCTGCAAGGTCCTTGAGGTACTCCTGCCGCGTCCGCTGTGCCATCGTGGCGAACTTCTCAGACCGGTGGGCAGCATTTTCTGCGTTGATCACTGAAAGGCAATGATGGCAGTACGAAAGCCAGTGAGCTCCGACCTTCTTGGAGACATCTGGCATGGGCTGTATCGAAATAATTAGGTGCTCAAAGAAAACCTGTTAATATACGCCCACTTCAAACATACTAATGATTCAAATGCACTTTTGAAAGATCCTGGACCAAGTATTGTAGAGCTTAATGTATTTGCTGACCGCTTGAAAGCCACCGTGACTCATCCTGCATACAACAGGTGTGCGCAATAAGCGCGTGCAACAAGGGTTTTTGCCTGTAAAAACTAACTGCACCCTTCAACTTTCCAGCACAACTCTGTCCTCAGAAGAGGACTTCCAGCTTTTAGCAGTGAAGCTTCTTAAGGCGTGGGTCGGTCATCACCTGTATGTATGCATGTATGGAGTAACAACCTCACAGCATATCCACGGAGTGAATGATAATGAGTGGGGCGAAGCTTCGGAGAGTTTTATCGGCAAATTGTGAATCATCCGCTGGCCGCGTCCGTCCATCGTCTGTCTGTCTGTTTGAAGCACGGACAGATGAACGCATGGGCAAACACAGGGACAAATGCAGGGACAGATGCACAGACAGACGGATGGACAGAAGCAAGAACGAACGGACATCCAGAAGTGCAGATGTACTGACGGACGCTTCGCCCCACTCATCATCATTCACTCCGTGGATATGCTGCGATTTTTTGGTAAGTGCAGAGACCTGCTGATCAATGATTCATACTTCTATATGATTGCAGTGATTGTCTTTGTAGATGGGCATCAGGAAAGAATGAAGGATAAGTAGTGGCCTTCAATAAAATGTTCTAGCATGACTTATTGCCGACAACTAGGGGTGTGCGAATATTAGAAAATTTCGAATATTTTTCGATAGTGTTTGCCATTTTATCTGATTCACAGTAAAATTTTACTGTTCAATCTGTTTGAAGACAAATACAGTCGAGGTCCAATTGACAATGGCCCCTTCAAATTTTCAATGTTTTATGTCATCACACTTCAATGATGGGGCAAAGTTGTCTTTCAGGCGCCGCTTCGGTTGCAAACGTATTCACCCAGTACAATGCTACTTCCAACACGGAGAAGCTAGATCTGGAAGAGGTGGGGGCTCAATGCTGTTTTGAACCTGAAATCGAGGCATGAAGTCCAAGAAATTGGATGCCAAATACTTTTAGCATAGAGAATTTTATATGTTTTATACGGATGTCTACGAGGCTTACAGTCGCTGACAGATTTTTGGGACCTGGCGGGGACCGAACAAAAGTCCAAAAACTGAACAGTCCGAAAAATTCGTTCTGGCCAGAAATATGAACTTCATTGCATCAGGTAGGCTTAAAAAAGTCCATGATTCTGCCTTGCCTCATACTACGCTTGGAAGCAATTTGGTTCGCCCATATTTGCGCCAAGGTGACATCGTCACCGTAAATGCTCGATAAAAGCTTCACCGTGGTGGCGATCTCCGCTGTCAACAGCTGCGGGCGATCGTCGTCATCATCTGAACCACTCTCCGGCTGCGGCACGACCTGGCGAAGAATTTCTTCTTCTGAGGGCTCCGCACACCAAATTGTCATCGTCCGCACGAGCGAATTCTTTAAATAGGGAGTCTTAGTACAGTGTTCTAGAAGCCCCCTTCTAGAACACTGTAGTTTTAGAATAACGTTTGCAGGCGCTGTGCACGTTGTGGGTATAGCGGACGCATTACGAGTTCTAGAATAGCATTTGCTTCCCCTAGGGAAAGGTCTAGGGACATTCACCCTCAAATGCACGGAAGCTACACACAACACTTCACGGGCCTCGCAGGCCTCGGATCACCGCACGCTATTTCGGATTTTCTGTGGGCAGGCCGCGAACGGCGACTCGTGTTACGACGCATGCGCAGTGGCAGCGACTGCATTGCAAGGGCTCGCGTTGCGCTATTCTAAAACTCCCTCATGTCATTGTGGCAAGCACATTCACTCAACTACTGCGCGGCTCTGCCTCCTCCCTGTACGGTGCAACGACGACAGTGCTGACCACTACGGCTGACCGAAGACGAGAAAAGGACCCGTGCCGCGTTTTCTAAAGCAGACATTGGCCTTCCGAAACTTGAAGTATGATGCTTGCTTTTCAATCTTGGAGGCAGGAAAGCCATTTTAAAATTAAGCCACAAAGCTTAGTCAAGCCAGCAGAAAATTCAAGATGGCGGCGTCCATACAGGGTTGTGGCGCGGTTCAAAACAAGTGATTTAGTCCGAAAAATTCAACTTTACGGGGAAATTCGTCTGAAAAATCGGCCGAAAAAATGCATTAGCTCTATAGGAACCCTGACAGTGAACTTTTGAAGTCCGAAATATCCAACAAGTCTGAATTTTCAGAATCCGAAAAATCGGTCGGTGACTGTATTTGTAACATGAAGGGAGCGCACCCTTGTCTGCCACACCGGTTGGGTTTCCACAGAAGTTGAAAGAAGAGGATAGACTCGGGAAATAGCATCTTCGCCTTTCACGTGTAAAGTGCTGTTGGCGACACTTTGGCTGTGCCAAATCAAGTGCATAATTAAAATTTGGCCTCTCCACTGCCTCACTTTTGATTAGACAGCTTTGAAACACCTACCCACCAGCTTGCTTCGCACTGAAAATTTTGTTATTTCCGTAGATCTACTGACAAAGCTAGCTGTTCAAAGGCATATGTGGTGTAGTGTTGTTCAAAGCATAATAGCCACTTTTATTCGGTGACAACACATGCACGTGCTGCATGGCCGTGAACCAGTCAAGGTCACTGCATGAGTCTATTACTTAAGCAGCCTTCAGTTACAGCTATGGCAAAACCTAATCTGTGACTGAAAGTTACATATTTGCATGCTCAGGAATGGATCAGACCCAAAGAAATGCTACTGCAACTGCATTTCCACGGCAATACGTGCTTAAAGTACAGCAAGTGCCCTGGTGGTGACAGCCAGAGCTTGTCAAATAGCTACAGGGCTCCATGCAACAGCCGGCACTGCATTCCAAAGAAATCGCACAAGTTCTCGCGATGGTGGCCGATCACTTTCCAAACACACACCTATGCATTCACAAAAGCCAGACCATTCTCTTACACAACACCAATGTGTCCTATGATGATTAAAAATTCTCTTTGGTATACTCACTGTGTGCTAGTGCACTGTCTTGTAGCACTGTATGCTTAGTGTATAATAATTACACCGTGTATGCACGACAGCTGCTATTTAACAGGCTTTCAAGGGCACAGCATTTTTGTAGCATGATCTGACATTACGTTAGGGTGTTCACCATTACGGATTTATTGTGTAGATTTACTGGCACCTACCACTACATGCTGCCACTTTCATTTAGCAAATTTCTCAATTATAATTGGAGGGTTTGTGGTTAAAATCAACTAAAAGTGACATGATAATTTGCATATTACGATTTCAGGGTGGAACAGGGTACAGTAAAACCTTGTTAATTCAAAGTCTCTGGGACATCGAGAAATCTTCGAATTAGGTGGATTTTGGAATTAACATATGAAAAGTGGGATGCAAAGAACTTGCAATTATTCAAAGTAATCAGGGCTGATCATTTACTGTGCCGGCTAGTTTGTGGCCCCAAAGGTTATGTTTTTCCTGCAATACATGGTCTTAATTTTGCCGCAAACACAGAGGAATAATAGGCCTTGCTGCTGCCACAAAAAAAATACAAAAAAAAAACGCAGGCTTGATCAACTAAAATGCGAGCCTGCAGAAAATAAAATGTGCTTCACTGCTATACAGTAGCGACCAAGCGGGCAGCATTTTGCCTGCTCCTCGCTGCGTCAGCACGTCATGATGCGACCATTCGCCAATCCTTTCTGGTAAAAAAAAGAATTTAATAATGGCCAGAGTGACAAAATTCACGAGATGTTTTGACTGAAAAGCATGACCATTAATGCTTTCGAGCTTAGTTTTCTAAGTAGGCGTAGCTAGGATGAACTCCGACAGCAGTCCAAGAGCACAAATTGCTGGAGCAACCGGCATTTTGAGGTTCGCATACATCGTGAATTCCGCCAAACTGCTCTGTATGAAATTTCTTTACAATCCCAGAAAGAATGGATAAATCATAACGCGCTGACGTAGCGAGAAACATGCAATATGCAACCTGCACGTCACTGCTGTGTTGCAGTGCAGCATGTTTTGTTTCCCACAGGCGCACGTTTCAATTAATCACGAAACCATTTTTTTTTTCGCTGGAGCTAGCGAGGCCGAAGTGCTTCAGCTGCCACTAAGTGGTATCGCTATGTTGCATTGCCTTATGGCTCTTAAGAGCAGTTATTTCCGCCTAATTGCGGCGAAAATTGCGGCAAATTGCGGGATCGGGCATTGGCACATGGCACCCAAAGTTTTTGAATGAGCCGAACTGGTGCTGACCGCAGCTCCAAATTATGCGCTCAGACTTGCATTGCAAAATACAGGACCGCGGAAATACTTAGAATTAAGCAGAATTTTAAGATCACAGAGTTTGAATTAATTAGGTTTTACTGTACATCGGTTAAGGAGCAGTCCTGAGAGCAGGCAAAAGTGCCTTTTGCAGCAGGCTTGCAGCCGCCAGAATGGCATATTCGAGCAAGTCTATAGAGTATTAAGAACATTTAGAGCAGGTGTAAACCAATTCAAAGCACTTGTGAAGCAACATTTGTGCAATGCTGCATAAGCCGAGTTGTGCAATAGCCTTCTTATAACGATAGAAATTATATAAAACTCTCGATGGGTTTTTTCCTTGCCATCGTGCCTGTTGAGATTCCAAATCGATAACATACCCCCGCGCATTGTATGTTCTATCCCCGGATAAAAGCACACGAGAGGGGGCGAAGAATGCGCTGAAGCAGAGATCAGGAACACTTGCGATAGGGTCCCCACTCCGCAACCATCGAGGAAGCCTGTAGTTGAATCAGAAAGGATGCGCTCTACCCGTCTTGAAAGAGCATGAAAAGAAGCGAGGACAGGGTGGGGGGTGTTACCCGAGCAACAACTATGAACTTTGCTTTTAAGGCCGTGGTCATGATTTCTAAGGGCATGGTCACGATCACTGGCATGCATGCTAACTCCGCAGCAATCAGCGCACGGCTCGCCTATGCTTCTACATGCTCTTATTGCGAAGAGACTGTGCGAAAAATATAGCTCTCCCTCAAGTGACCGTATTCTTGTAAGCCAGCATTATGTACAGTTATGTGAGGTGGAATCCAAAAGAGTTAGCTGCCAGCCTCCCTTCGTATAACACTACAATCTGCTGCTATCACATTCATTGCTTTGCTCTTGTATTGTAACTGTAGCATTTTTAGTTACGTACAGCCGCCCATTTATTTGAACTGAAAACGTGAGCGCCAACTACAGAGTCGGTGAGCTCGAAGCACGGCAGCCAAATGTAGGAGAACACATTCATGCGCTCAATGAGCAGTCTTGTGCACCTGCATACCACTCAAGTTCAAGCATTCTGAATGCAGGAGATTACCGCAATGGGGGGAACATCCGGTAACTCTACTAAATGTTGGTGTAAGAGAATACAGACGTGCCGGGGATAAATGCTCATCTCGCAGTCTCTTTGAGTTGAGAGCACAGCGTGTAGAGGGGTTCGCGAGCGATTCACTGCCTGCCGTGGTTGTGCGCACTTAGCAACCACGACCGCGCCCACTGAAGTCAAAGTTCATGATTGCTGCTGGAGCGATCACATCCTTTGCGAAACCGAAACTATAACTGTTCCTGATGAAACAAAAAGGAATGTGTTTCAGGCTCTCAGCCCCGTTTCTGGGCACTGCACTAGATGGCTTTCGTACCTTGCAGCTAAATTATGATGCTGTAGCGCAGCACGGTGCTAATAAATGAGTTTGGTGCAGCAGGGATGGGATCAGTGCAGGATGGCCCAAGTAAACAAGTTTGGCACACAATGGCCCAAATGGCGCAGCTGTTCTACCCCTGTGATTTCAGTTACAAAGTACTGACAATGTGTTCGTAATATTTTTTAGCAATTCATGCAAGCTTTTTTCAAAGCCCTAGAATAAAAAAAGGCACAAATTAAATCATTAAATATGGTAAGTAACAGCCATAGTTTCAGCTGGCCAGCTAGTGCAAATGAATGCATTACGAAACTTCAACCTCACTAGCTTGAATGACCATTTATTCAACAACACAATGCTTCATTACACTAGCACATTCAGCTTTTGGAACACTAAGAAAGGGAACTTGTCAAAGGGCTGCAACAAAGTCAGGCACAGAATAATACCTTTTGCAAGAATGAAGTCAGTGAACTTCTTGGACTTTGGAAATGTGGCACCTTCAGGGATTGGCGGACCAAACACGGGGACCTCTTTGGATCGACTTACGGCAACACTGCATGAAAAAATAGTTCTCAAACCACCGATTAAACTCCGAGCAGGCAATTTGTAGCACATATGAGGGTGTTACATATATATATATATATATATATATATATATACATTGCATTATAAATTGAAACTTCATTGGTTTTTGCTGAACTGTATTGCACCTCGCAGGGGTCACCACTGTAATATGTGAAAATGGAGACCTCCAGTGCACACTCTCTGTGGCCGACATAATATGGAAGTCGGTCATTAAAAGGAAGCAGATTAAAAATTGCATTTTCACGGCATAGTTCGCACATTGGTGAACTATTATCCACCTACTTAAAAAGGTTTTATTAGCATATATTACACTACTTGTGAAGCCTCACAAGAGCTAGTAACCATGAGATTGGCACTAGGCATGCGAGAATATTTGAGCACTTCAAGTACAGTAGTTGAACAAATGTTACAGTATTGAAAGTTGCTCCAACAAAAATTAAAATTATTATAAATGAATGAATACACATATTTTAACTGCATGTAACATCTTGTAAATGTGGGTTTGCTGCACTGGAGTGGTGTTCTACAGCGAATAAACCTATCTGAAAAAAAAAAAAAAAATTACACTGACACAAAACCCAACTTCAAGGTTAAATGATATTAACCTCACATCGATTTATCATTCAAGTTTAAAAGCCTGTTATATCAGCTTACATGCTCCAAGCATAGCAAATTTTAAAATTTAACATAATTTACAGGTTATCATTTGCATTCTAGTAAAAAGTCAAACCGTGCTTATATTCAAATTTGCTTCCACTTTTTTAAAAACAAAAAGATAACATTTCCACATGTCTTGACTCGATTTCAAAAAATATTGTGCTTATTAGTTGGGTCATGACAGATATGCTCATTCTCCTTTGTATTATCTAATATATACTATTTAAAATCCACAGGTTTTAAAACAGTCTCAATGAATAGCATATGCCTTGTAGGCATTCTTCAACAAAATCTCCCTTAATACTCTGCCAGTAATAAAGGCATTCATATTGGTCATGCATGCAGTAACGCAGCTAAAATCTTATCAAAAAGAAAGCTCCTTTATTGATGATGATATATGGTGTTTTTTGGCGCAAAGGCCATTTGTTGGCCAAAGAGCGCCATTTCATCTTACTAAAAATATGGACAATGATTGTGATAAGCGGCTGTATAAGGGCCATAAAATTCCTCGCGATAAGGCAGGTAAGAACATACAAGTAATAAAATGATGACCATGCCGTGAAAGATGTGTGTGGTGTGAATGATGACAAAAGTTGGTGATAAAAAGACGATGGTGGATATGTATGGCATTAGCACAAGTGCCTCACTCGTTCATACCCTTGCGTCCAAGGGTCGTGAGGCAAGTGCTTTCTTGTGTAACCTCCGCAGCAAAAACCTCTCTAGAGAGGTCGTGCTACGAAATGCCCGGGTATATGATATGAAAATTATGAATTTCTTTTAAAAACGCTAACAATGATTTATGACTAAAAAGCGGTTCCCTACCGACGAACATTGCAGGGTGTAAAGGTATATGCTCTCGGTAGGGTAATGGGAAAATGTCGTTTTCTTAGAGTTTCTAAGTGTTTGCACTGGATTAACATGTGAAGGACTGTCAATGCTTCACCACATCTGTCACACAATGGTGGATCGCCATCAGACAAAAGATATGTGTGCGTCGTGTATGTGTGTCCTATCCTGAGTCTCGTTAGTATTACCTCTGTATGATGCGATTTCGATACGGGCAGCCAATGACCAAGGTGTGGCTTAATAACGTGTAGTTTGTTTTGTGTGTGTGTATCCCAATTGCTCTGCCAGTATACCCTGAGGTTTCGTTTGAGAGACGGCTTAAGATCAAGGGCCGGGATTGATATGGGTGTAGGAGCAGTGCTTTTGTGGACGGATGCAGTGAGCTGATCCGCCCTCACGTTGCCTTGAATCTCACGGTGCCCTGGCACCCAGCACACTACAACATGTTGGTTGAGTGTGTAGAGTGTGCATAAAATGAAGTAAAGTGAAATGAGGACAGGGTTTTTTGTTTTTTAAGACTGTGCAGAGCCGTTACCACACTGAGGGAGTCTGTAAAAATTACTGCTTTTTGTATTTGTAATTTTTTGATGTGTTTAGCTGCCACAAGTATTGCGCAAGCTTCCGCTGTGAAGATACTTGTGCCTGGATGTAGAGGGCCAGCATCCGAAAAGGAAGGGCCAACAGCAGCATAGGACACAGAGGAGTTAGACTTAGAAGCATCTGTAAAGAACTCAGGACGTGTGTATTTGTGTTGAAGTTCCAGGAAGTATGTTCCAATATGGGCAATAGGCGCATGTTTAGTAATTTCTAGAAAAGACACATCGCAAACTATAGTCTGCCACTGCCACGGTGGAAGGTATGCTACAGGAGCCATTAAATTGTGTTCGAGTAACACTCCAGTGTCCTCAGCTAGACCCTTCAGGCGAACTGAGAAGGGCTGTCTCATTGAAGGCCTGTTTTGAAACAGAATGAAGCTCGACAAATCATTAATAGTAGAGTATGAGGGGTGCCTCTTGTCTGCTTTCACCTTAAGAAAATATACAAAGGACATATAAGTTCTTTGCAGATGAAGCGACCACTCATTTGACTCAACGTAAAGGCTTTTTACGGGGCTGGTGCGAAAAGCACCCGTAGAAAGGCGGATGCCTAAATGGTGCACGGGATCCAGCATCTTCAAAGCGCTTTGAGTCGCAGACTGATAAACAATGGCCCCATAATCTAAGCGGGTGCGAATGAGGCTTCTATACAGATTCATGAGGCATTTCCTGTCACTACCCCACGTAGTACGTGACAACACTTTTATAACATTCATGGCTTTTAAACATTTTGTTTTTAAATACTTTATGTGTGGTACGAAGGTCAACTTGTTGTCCAAGATTAAGCCTAAGAATTTATGCTCCGCATTCACAGACAGACATTGGCCGTTCAGTTCAATGTCAGGCTCCGAGTGCATGCCTCTCTTTCGGGAGAACAAGACACAGGTGCTTTTTTCTGGGTTCAGCCGGAATCCGTTTTCCTCTGCCCATTTGGAGACCTTGTGTAAACCTAACTGAACCTGCCGCTCACACATTGCTAGGTTGCATGACTTAAAGCCAAGCTGGACGTCATCGACATATGTGGAATAGAACACGTTGCGGGGGATGGACAGGTGCAAGGAATTCATTTTAATAATAAAAAGTGTACAACTAAGTACACCACCTTGCGGTACTCCCGTTTCTTGCACAAATGTTTGCGAGAGAGTACTGCCCACACGGACACAGAAATTCTGATTGGACAAGTAACTCTCGATTATGGAAAGCATTCTACCGCGCACACCCAGGTGAGACAAGTCTCTTAATATGCCAAAACGCCATGTTGTGTCGTAGGCTTTCTCGATATCGAGAAACACTGAGAGAAAGTATTGTTTGTGGACGAAAGCGTCTCGGATCTGTGCCTCGATACGCACCAGATGGTCGGTGGTGGATCTACCCTCCCGAAACCCACACTGAAATTGGTCGAGCAAATTGTGTGTTTCAAGGAAATGTAAAAGTCGGCGGTTTATCATTTTTTCAAAAAGTTTACAAAGGCAGCTGGTTAGTGCAATGGGCCTGTAACTTGAAACTAAGGAAAGGTCCTTGCCCTGTTTCAAAATTGGGATAACAATAGCCTCTTTCCAGGAAGCAGGGATGGTGCCTGAAAGCCAGATAGCATTGTATAGAGAGAGTAAAGTTTTTCGCGTTTCGAGCGGCAGGTTTTTCAACATTTCATATGCGACACGGTCGTAGCCTGGAGCAGAATTATTGCAAGAGTTTAGTGATTTTTGTAGCTCAGCTAAGTTGAAAGGTTGGTTGTATTCCTCGTAATTTGTGCACTTGGATTCTAGTTTCTGCTTTTCTATCTTTGCTTTATGTCTTTGGAAAGCTTCAGTGTAGTGTGGCGAGCTAGACACCTGCTCGTAGTGTGCACCGAGGAAGTTCCCTTGATCTTCCAGGCTATCACCCTGTGTGTTTACGAGTGGGAGTGAGTGTACTTGTCTTCCTGCTACCCTACGAACCATGTTCCAGACTTCAGCCTCTTGTGTATATGAATTTATCCCTGATAAAAACTTGTGCCAGCTTTCTTTTCTGGCCTGCCGACGCGTTCTCCTGCCTCGAGATTTTATTTTCTTAAAGCTCTCCAGGTTTTCCGCTGTCGGCGAGTTCCGCAGCAACCTCCATGCCCTGTTCTGTTCCTTTCGCGCATTCTGACACTCAGCGTTCCACCACGTAACGTGTCGGTTGCCGGGCAGTCCAGATGTTTGTGGAATGCACTTGGTTGCTGCGTCAGTAAGAAAAGCCGTGAAGTACTGCACAGCTTCATCTATGCCTAACCCGCATATGTCAGTCCAATTTAGGTGAGTAAGCTTTTGAAATTGTTCCCAGTTGGCTTTGTTTACCAGCCATTTGGGAACATGTGGAGGACATTCATTTATTATTGGTGTACTCAAAACTAAAGAGAAATGGTCACTTCCGTATGGATTATTTATGACTTTCCACTGAAGTAATGGTACAAGTGAAGGAGATGCGATACTGAGGTCTATGGAAGAGTAAGTTTTGTTGGCAAGGTTATAGTATGTTGCCTCTTTCCTATTCAACAGACAAGCACCCAATGAAATGAGGAATTGTTCAATGAGACGACCTCGGGCATCACAGCGAGAGTCACCCCACAGACCATTATGTGCGTTCAGGTCCCCAAGGACCAGATAAGGTTCAGGTAGTTCGTCTATTAAAGACTGGAATTGAAGTTTTTCGAGACGGTGGTGCGGAGGTATGTACAAAGAGCAGACAGTGACAAGTTTGTTTAGAATAACTGCTCGGACAGCCACCGCCTCGAGGGAAGTTTGAAGGGGTAATTGTGTGCATGCTATACCTTGACTTACTATAACCGCTACACCACCGGATGGTAGCATGGCATCATCTCTATCCTTTCGGAAGATTATGTAGTTACGTAAAAAGTTTGTGTTAGTTCGTTTTAAGTGTGTCTCTTGTACACACAGCACTCTTGGATTGTGTTCATGGAGCAGTTCTTGTAAGTCATTGAGGTTTCGAAGAAGGCCTCGGATGTTCCACTGTAATATTTCTGTCTGCATATTTAAACAAGAGAGATGTTGCTGTGTGTACAAAGAGCATCCGGTGTTGGAGTGAGCTCGTTAATTCAGGTGGCAGGACGGTCGTCCGGCCCCGTTATTGGTTTTTTAGTTTTCTTGGCGCGCTCCAAGGAGGTGCGCCGCTCTTTTGGTACCAAGGGTACCGTTGTATCCATTGCCTCCTCAGAGGCACTGGGTGCCTGCACATGCGAGCTGGTGGTTCGGGTTTTAGGCCTCGCCTGGTGAGGGGATGCCTTGAGACCAGAAGACCCTGGAGTCTCCGGCCTCAATTCGCTAGGAGGCGGAGTAGACTGAACTACTGCCGCCTTGGGGGCAGGTGCCACAGCCGTCGGCTCGCTCTGCGCTGGCCGAAGGAGTGACGAGGGCTGGTGCGGCGTTGCCCCCTGACGCGCCGCATCAGCATATGTAGCGCCATAAAATGGCGACACTCTTCGTCTTGCTTCTTTGAATGTGATATTTTCTTTAATTTTCAATGTGATGATTTCCTTTTCTTTTTTCCAAAATGAACAAGACCGTGAGTATGCGGCATGATTTCCGCCACAGTTCACACAGTGTGATGGTTCTTCGCAATTGTCAGAATTGTGGCCTGACACACCACACTGTGCACAAGTTTGGTGACCACGACAGCTTTGTGAGCCGTGGCCATACTTCTGGCATTTAAAACAACGACGTGGGTTAGGTATGTATGGTCTGATCGACGTCTTAGTGTACCCTGTTTGAATACTTTCTGGCAGATTACTGGAAGCGAACGTGAGTATTTGGTGTTTTGTTGGTGTTACCTTGTTGTCTCTTCTAATGGTGATCCTTTGTACATTGGCCACATTCTGACTCTTCCACCCCTCCAGAAGTTCCTCTTCAGTCAAGCCGAGCAAATCAGCATCAGATACTACTCCACGGGTTGTGTTCATGGATCTGTGTGGTGTTACAGTTATGGGAGTGTCACCAAAAGTTGAAAGATTCTGTAGCTTTTCATACTGTTTTTTTTTCTCGAACTTCAAGGAGGAGGTCTTCGCTGGCCATTTTGGTAACATTGTACCCGGCTCCTAGAGTTTCTGTGAGACATCTGGCTACTACAAAGGGGGATACAGTTCTGGCTTGCTTGCTGCTTATCTCACTATGTATAACATGAAAATGGGGGAAGTTTTCAGTTGATCGGTTGAAAAATCCTAAGTCTTCGGTGCGTACGCGCTTTAAGGCGGTACGATCACTTAATAATGAAAATGCTCTATGCATGCCAGTTTAATTTTCTTCGGAAGCGTTGGCGGCCACCCACCACGGAGCCCAACGAGGGGACCTACAAGTTTGCGGGTGTTAAACCTGCAGACGCCAGCCGTACAACACTACTATAACCCAATGCGCCTAGACCAAGGTAGGCTATTTGCACAGGGTTAACCCTAGCCGCCAGGAAGTTTGGAAGTAAACAGAAGAGAGGAGAAGACAGGACAGATAAAAAGTGAGAGATAAAGACGAAGATGTAGGGAGAGAGAGATAGGAAAAGGCGACTGCCGATTTCCCCTGGGTGGGTCAGCCCAGGGGTGCCGTCTACGTGAAGCCGGGGCTAAAGGGGTGTGTTGCCTCTGCCAGGGGGCCTTAAAGGTCCAATCACCCAGCATCGGCTCAACCCCCAGGATCCCCTTTTCCCCGGACACGGCAAAGCCACGCACGGCTAGGCGTGGGAGGGAGTAAAAACTCCCCCGTTAGCTCGGGTCCGTGGTGTCGCTACACACCAAACGCCTACTTGCGCAGGCGCCCCTGCGGGGAAAGCTCCTTTATTACCAGCAACTACATACACCATCCTGATAACCCTATTCATTGCCATGATCATAACAGCCTTTAAATGCTAGGCTGCCACTATGCTTTTACATAACTACAGTAATTTTGAAGGCTAATGCTGTACGAATGTATGAAGTAAAGACATCGAGAAATACCACCATGACAAGGCATATTCCTGCAACAGCTCAATCCTTAAAAACACTAACAATGATTTATGACTAAAAAGCGGTTCCCTACCGACGAACATTGCAGGGTGTAAAGGTATATGCTCTCGGTAGGGTAATGGGAAAATGTCGTTTTCTTAGAGTTTCTAAGTGTTTGCACTGGATTAACATGTGAAGGACGGTCTAGGCAATGACTAGGCATTGTCCCTAGTGGCCATACATTTATTCTGGGGCTTTCGCACAAGAACACATGCACGAAAGCACACTTCATCATCATCATCATCATTTATTTATATTTCTCTTAAAGGCCCCTGTTGGATTATTACTTAAGGGGCGGGGGGGGGTAACATAGAAAGTTAGACATGAGACTTGACAGGTCACAAGTTTGAAACACACATCTAAGTGAAATAGATTACCTGTTTAGATGCAAAATAGAAACATTGCAATTTAACGAGACATGGAGAACATTGTAAGATCGTAACGAATATTACAGCGTGAGGTGATCAGTAAGCAACTGCTTAAACACAATGAGGTTATGCTCGGTGACAACACTATCCGATATTCCACTCTGCATTGGCGATCGGCAAAAAAGATTGATTGAAAGAAGACGTTGAACCATGGAACCGCTGGATGCTGCAAGAGCTAAAAAGGCGACGAGATGCACGGTGCGGGTAGTTTAGGAATTTACCATGAAGTTGAGGGAAGTTGTAATAGAGCCGATGGAACAAGCACAGCCTTACAATCTTATGTCGGAATGACAACGACTCGTGTTCCAAGAGATGACTTTATGGCACTGATGCTTTCATCATGGCTGTACCTGGAAGAGATGAATCTGGCCGCACGGTTCTGTATGGATTCTAAAACGCTAATGAGGTATGCTTGGTGAGAGCTCCAAATGGGTTAGGCATATTCTCATGTAATACCTCTTACTGAGGGGCCTTTGAGGCAACAAATAAATGAATAAAAGCCGCAACACAGCCGAGTCACTGACCTGTACCGAGTCTTGGAGGTGCAGGGTTCGATGGCGCGCACGATGATGAAGACATGCTGGAAGTGCGACCGGATGTTTTTGGGCGTGAAGGGCAGAGCTCGGGGCTCTTGGAACACGAGGGTGACGATGTCGTTGCCGATGTGACGCTTGCGCAGCAGCTGCACACAAAATGCTCCTCGTGAATCAAACTTTGACAGGTTGCGCTGGCAGTGAACGCCCCCAATATGTAAGCTCGTATATAAATGTGGAAGAAGCCTATACAATAGCTAATAGCTATTGTAGCGAAACGTGCTCCAGCAAGCATACCACTAGATTCATTTTGACAGAACAGCACCACTGATTAAGATGAGAGCGTAGAAGACACATGAACAGTGTTGCCACCTTAGCGCTATTTCCTCGAAATAAATCCACACAAACTTGCTTAATATTCAGTTCTGTTTAATATAAAAAGTTGTGAACATGCAGGCCTGAAAAGTGTGGCACACTATATCTGAGGCTGCTAGGATTTTGGGCCAACAGTTAAATGTCCTCATAACTTCAATCAGACAAAGACGACTATACAGTCAAACCCCTTTATAAGAGACACTGATGTAAAAGAAATGGGTATGTGACACCAGTGTGCCTACAGTGAAATACTTATTGATAAGAAAATGCATACGTGGAGCATTGCTTATAAGACAACTCATATAATAGACAAGAACTCTCGCCCTGAGCATATCTCTCGTAAAGGGGTTTAACAGTATTACAATGTAGTTTCCTATGTCAGTAGAACACAAAACTTCAACCTCAGAACAATAAAACATGTAGTAATTCCTTTGTAGTAGCAAACTTCCGTTTCCCCAGCACAGCAGAACGAATGTAACAAATTGACACTTATGCAGCTGCAGAACCAAGCAATTTGTGTAAACACATTCTTGTGTTATGTGTAGCACAGGAGACCACGGGCCTCAATAAACATGCAGGCCTTGAAAATTGACCCTCTGTAAATGTTGGAACCCTATCTGGACCACGACAGTGCAGCAAGGTAATGGGGCAGAATACCAGTGGTGGCACGCAGTTTCGGTTGCCTGCAGACATGTTTCCGCAACTGCAATTGCATGCAGCATAGTCTTTAAAGAGATACTAGAAGAAAACAATGACTTGGTTTAAATCGACATACTGCGCTCTGAGAACTCTAATGCCATGTTTCACTATCACAAGTTCCTTATCAGTGGAGAAAATCAAGGTTGCAGTTTCATTTTTTAATTTCACGCCTACATTTCCCTGCAACGTAAAACATTTCAAATGTATTTTCGTGACATTGTCTCTATGAAATTTTTTGTAACTTCGTATGCTAGGTCTATGGCACAGACAGATGACAATGACTTTAATTTATATCGAGTAGAAGCTATTTAGGACCCAGTAGACACCTTCAAAATTTCTTATTCACAGTGCTTAGTGCGGGAATCCCAAGGTGGTGTCGGTACTCATATTTTTTTTCCACGCGTTTTCTGGTTTACCAAGTGCCATCTTGCAGTAGAAGTGGTGTTTTCGAGAGAGTGAAATCATAACTTACTAATGCACAAAAAATCGTTTTGCTCTTTAGTGCCCCTTTAACAGTGCCAGAATACGAGCATAGTAACAGGCATGGCCACTGACCTGCTGCTTGTTGCTGGGTGTGTATGGAAGCATGGTGGAAACATGAAACATGATCTCACAGTCCTCATAGGTTGAGTACACCGAGTACAGGCCGGTGGTGTCCGCTACAAAAGGATAAAAGAAAAACAGACCAACATTCCTCGTATCAGTGTCAGATCAAATGACAGAAAAAAGCGAAATGTTGCATTACAACCGTTCACTCGACCCTGACACCCTGTGAAGAATCACTATCTTCTTTGCTACAGTTGCAGCATAAGAGCAGCTTAAATAAATGAATAATAATAAAAGAGAAGAAAGCTTGATTAAGACTTGAGTTGAAGTATAAAAAAAAACCCAAAACCATAAAGAAAGAAAAAAGGACATCTGCACAATAAACAATGCTGCTTAAGACAATTGGTTTATTATGGTCAGAATTTAGGTAAGGTTTCTACCCAACTGAAGGCATGGTCCTAAAGTTACGTTAAAGCTCCCAGTGAAGATCCTATTGGTACTATTTTTGCTGTCATTGCACTCATTCATTGACCTGTCACGCTGACACTCCTACAGAAAACACCCATCTTAGGAAATGCACCCTCTCAGTCACGCGATTTCTCAATACTAACAAACTAGGTCCAAGCAACACTACTGTTGTCCCTGTGGCCCTGCTAAAGTACGGCCACAGTTCTGACGTCTCGCAAGCGCTCACTCTTGTTGTCGAGGCCCGCCCGATAGTTCTGGAAGCCCTTGAGCCGAACTTTGTGACCCAGCATCTCGAGGAACTCTTCAAAGGCCGGACCCGCAGTTTCTGCAACAAACAACAGATATATACATGTAGTTCAACTTGTAAGGACTGTCTGGCAGAGTCAGAAACCTCAAGGCTGAGACGCGGATGGTGTGGTGGAGCCAGCATCATCATCAGACACACGGGGCAGAAACAGACAGAAGTGTTCACTGAAATGTGGTGTGTGCACTTCTCCTTGACAACCGCGGTGCAATTTTATCCGCATTCGAAAATCCGGATGGAGGCGTTCTATTCGTTACGCCAGAAAGTGGGTGGTCCGCATCGGTCGCGAGGATGAGAGAAAGCGAACAGCCAGTGTGGGAAATGGAGGCCTGCATCACAATTTTGACGTCGGCTTGGCACGTTTCAAGTGAGCGCAATTGAAATTTGACGCGGCCAGTGTCCCTGTGGGATGTGCCTTGTGTGAAAAGACGCGACCAGCGTGTTTATTGGAAGCGCCTCGTGTCTTCGACCTGCGAAGGACGGGCCCAGTGTCTGTGACGGACACACTCAGTGACTTCCGCAAGAGACGCAGCACTGCTCGTAACACCACGGAGTGAATGATGATGAGTGGGGCGGAGCTTGAAAGTGTTTCATCAATAAACCCTGAATCCTCCAATCCGTCCTGCATCTGTCTGTCCATCCGTTTGTCTGTTCGCTTGTCTGTCCATCTGTCTGCTCCTCCCTCTGTCTGTCTACCACAACGGACACGGACAGACAGACGATTGGCTATGGCAACGAAGGGGGGATTGAGTCACAGCGTAAGTGCATGAGGCCTGCTCCGACACTATGTTCTAAATGTACCCGGATACTGAAAGGCGCGAAGCACTTACATTTCAATCCAATCCATGCTGCCTCGCAGCCATTTCGATCCATCCGTCTCATTTTGGACAGTCTCTCCAAGCGTTCTTTCACCTCCGTCGCAGTAACGGACAAAAATAGACACACGGCACCTTGACTCACGTGACGCAGAATGTCGCGGCATTCATCATGGCTCAAATGAGCCAATCATGTGAGACTCAATGGAGCGGAACGCCTCCGTCCGAATTTGGCTCACATGACATAAAACGTCACGGCATTCCCCCCGGCTCAAATGTGCCAATCATGATCAACTCGATGGAATGGAAAGTCTCTGTCCGGATTCAGAACACGTATAAAATTGCACCAATGATTTGCATTATGCCATATGTTTGAAACTGTGTTTCAGCAGCACGTTCCCCATCTCCACAGACACCTTGGTAATACAGTCTTAAATGTATCGTGAACAAGATGCATTACAATGCCGATCTCTTCATTGTACTCATTGAGAATCACTATATAATACAATGCCGAGTTAATGTCCATAGTCTAGCGCCAACACAGTGCCTCCCCCCCTCCCCAAATAAAAAGATTGAATCATTTCTATGCCTTGAGAGCCGCCTGACAGCGAAGCTGTAATGATGATAACGATGACTTTCGGTACAAAGAACCCTCATAATATTAATAATACAGCCGAAATCCGTTTCCCAGACCCACAAGGGACAGGGGAAACGTCTAGAAAATCGGGCAGTCCGGAAAGAAATGCAAGCAAAAAAAAAAATGGCAGCATATCCACGGAGTGAATGATAGAGAGTGGGGCGAAGCATTCGTCCGTCCATGCGTCCGTCTGTGTGACCGTCCATGCGTCTGTTTGTGCGCCCGTCCCTGCGTTCCTTCATGCATCCGCCCCTGCGTCCGTTCATCTATTCAACACTCCAAGTCCCACCATCTCGCATCTTTTTATCATATATTCCCCATATAGAAGCACCGCCATCCAGCGGACATTCCAAGGACTAAACGAGAGGTGGCACACGCACACTTTCTTACGGCCTGCGCTTTGGGTCCACTTCCCACCTTTAACCACCTCGAGTTCATGTTATATTCTAGTTCACTGTATTCATGGCACTGCGACCAAACGCTCGCTAAACCTTTCGAAAACCAAGGAGGTTACGCCCATCGAGTATAACGTAGCAACCTTTCCCTGTCAGATAGGGCTCAATGTACATGCCAATGGCTGCTAATGAGAAATGAGAGACAGGAGAATTCGGCTTTTACTTTCTTACGGCTTGCGCTTCGTATCTACTTCTCATTTTTAACCACCTTGAGTTCATTCATGGTATATACAAGTTCATTGTATTCATGGCACTGCGGCTCAACGCTCGCTAAACCTTTCTAAAGCTAAGGAGGTTACACCCAGCGAGTATAATGTAGCATCCCTTTCTTGTCCAATAGTGCTCAATGTACATGCCAATGGCTGCTAATGGGGATCGCAGCGTCCGCGTTGACTAAAAGCCGAATGCTCATGTCTCTCATTCCCCATTAGCAGCCATTGGCATGTACATTGAGCACTATTTTTTATTGTTAAACAACGCACAGAAGAAATCTCTCACTGGCACCACCTTGGAGGTCAAGTGTTACACCTATTTCGGGTATGTGCCACTGGTGGTTACATACGAGGGACGCCCAAGCCACGCCATAAGGAGCTTCGCCCCTAAAACACACACTTTCTAACAGGTTATTTTCGCTGACAGAGAGAGAGTCCCGACAAAAGTACAGGGTTCTTATTGCAATTCAGCAAATGCAAGGTTTATGTGGCTATGAAACGGGCAAAAAAAAAAAAAGATAAAGGAAATACGATGTGGCCGGCGCACTTGTAAACACTTAGGCGCAAAATGTCATTTATTTTCGTTTGCTTGGCGTTCTACTTACTCACGATGATGTCTGTCTCAATTTCAGTTAACGTCATTTCAGCGTCAGTGCTTGTGTCAACTTCGAGCTCACTGGCTGTGTAGCGCTGCCTCTTTGATCTCACTGTCGGAGTCGTCGAAATCTTCCGTAACTTTGCGAATGATTTCATCATTAGTCAATTCAAACACAGCTCGAGGTTTGTTTCAGAATTGGTGAAGCCCTCATGGGTTATCCCGGCTGTAATCGAAATACCGGTAACGTGCAGATAGTCGAAGGCAACGTCCACGGGTGGAAGTTCATCACACACGTGTCCACTCCGAGCGAGACGGCCGTCTTGCGTAGCGAAAACGCTTTCTACGAGTCTGCAAGCATGCCGACGGCACATCAAAGGTCAAAAGCATAGTTTTTGCCACTGCACAGCACCATGCGGCCTAAGGCTGTGGCCTAAGCTACAGCCAGAGGCTACGGCTGGCAACAGACTGGCGTGAGCTGACCGTGGCATTTTGGGTTTCAAGAGTGCGGCAGCCGCAGCGCGGTGGGTTGAACAGTCCAAAAGCAACCAAAATGGCAGCGTCAATAGTGACTTCGAGTCTGCGGTTATCGGTAAAAAGTCTGGAAAATCGGATGGCAAAAGCTATAAATGTCCGGAATTTTGAACTTTTTAATACATTTATTCTATAGTGAAGTTGACAGTGCCACAGATGAGTATGGGAAATCAGGCTTGTCTGGAATTTCAGGCGTCCGAAAAATCGGACATCGACTGGATCTGCAGGGGTGCAACAATAAGAATAAAATTTGGAGTAAGTTTCGGAGCTGCAAAATGTTACTTTTGGAGCACTAAATTACAAATTTGAAGCAGGTTACAAGAAAAAAAAAAGAATGCATTTTTTATCACGAAAGACCCAATTTGGAGAAGCATAAAAAGAAGGCTTACATTTAGAAAAAAATATGTATAAACTATTCAAGATCACTTAAATTGCACAGTGTGAACATGAGCACTGCTGTTTCAAGAAAAGTAGTATTTTGAACCGCCCCACTAAGCAAACAATGATAAAGTCCACATGAGCATTTGCTACACCTGTCAAATCCTTTGACAGATTCTGCGAATTAAAGTGTAGATCTGCCAAGCTCGTGACCTTGAAATTTGGGAGATTCGTAAAACAAAGGAGTAGGGATGGTGAAAAAAGAAAAACCGGCACAAAATCTTGTTTCTTTTTTGTTTTAGAGATGCAGAAATGTCATACACTGCTCCAAATGATTGCCAGTAATTGTTTTAGACATCAGTGCTCATAATGCTACTCAGAATTATGCGGCGTATACATGCATGAGTAATTAAACAAAATGTGCTGCGTCCCATGACTAGCGCTAACATCCCCTTCCAAAACCTTCATACACTTTTCTGCATGACACCGGCGTACAGAGGGAAATGCGGCTTGTGCAACGTTCTGCACGAATTAGAACAAGGCCTGGAAATTTTCGAACGGCCACATGCACCCTCCCCTTTTTTTTCTTTTTTTTTTTCTTTCATGGTGGGGTTAGGTGCCTTTTCGGATTGCTTGAAAGTAACAACGGCGTGCACCTATTGGCCCAGCGACGGCAACGGCTGTCTATTGCCAAAACCGTGACCGACACGACGGAACTTCAAGACAGCATTGTTTTATGTGCCACTGCTACGACAGCCAACCTGGTTGCTATCAACACCAGTGTTCGCAGCACGTCGAGCTTGTTCGCACGCAGAAAAGCGGCATATGCCTTTAGCTTTAGTTCCTCACATGCTATAACCGCGTTTGCAGACTAGAAAATTTATAGTTCCAGCGAAGCCTTGGTGGCTACAGCAACGCACTTTGTCTTAAAGTCCCATTATCCCACCATCCGTTATCCCGTTATCCGCGGCAGTCAGAGGACCAATGGGTGCGCGGCATTGTTACTTGATCTGGTCAATTGCATGTCGCGAGTAAGCTCACCTAACAAGTATTATCTCACATGTGGTTTAGGGTTAGAGTTTGCGGGCTTTATTTCATTGATGACGCAAACTGCAGTTGGCCAAAGTGTCGTTGCTCCTTTTCCTCACCTGGCTGATCAGGCATTTTGGCACAGCGTGGCGTGATTTCAACAAATTTTAACATTTTGGCGCAGCTCAGCGCTACAATTGAGGATTGTATCAAATTGGCTCAATTGGCACAGTTGTTGCACCCCTGTATTTGGGCTTTAACGTTTCAGAGCCCAAATATGATCATGAGAGACACCGTTGCAGAAGGCTCCAGAAATATCTACTACCTGGGGTTCTCTAATGTTCACCTAAATGTAAATACATGGACCTTGAACTACCTGGGGTTCTCTAATGTTCACCTAAATATAAATACATAGACCGTGAACATTTTAGTCTCCGACGAAAATGCAGTCCCCGCGGCTGGGATTTGATTCCATGACCTTTGGGTCAGCAGTTGAGAGCTATAACGACTAGATAACTGTGGAGCAAAAAGAGTCCTTATAATGGTTGTGATTTTGAGCATCACAGTTTGGTTTTAGTTATTTGAAGAAAAGCATCATCACCATCATTTTGTTCCTACTTCTTTATCGACTCCTTTTTTGACCATGTGGCTTACATGATGACACCTGCTACTAGGCTTGTGCAAATATTCAAATGCTTCAAATATTCGGACAAATATTACAGTATTCCAATTCACTTTGACTCGAATTGAAATTGTCAATGATTTCAAAGTATTTCAAATGAATGAATGGGTATACATTGATCTGCACGTAACTTACTGTAATAATGGTTTCACTGCAGTGAAGGTGTGCAAAGCTGTGAAAGCATCTTTGCAGACAAAATCTGCACTGCCACGAAGCCTTACATGAAGGTTAAATGACCAGCACACCATCACATTGATTGATCATTTTTAGAGTTTGAAAGCTTGTTATAATGGCTTATATGTTCTAAGTGTAGTAAATTTTAAAATGAACATAATTTGCAGGTTACTGTTTGCATTCCACAGGAAATCCATTGCTGCTACTATTCAAAGTTGTTTGAACCAAAAAATGGGAGTTGCACAGGCCTTGTCTCAATCTTTAAAAAAGTACTGTGCAGGTTTGTTAGGTTATAAAAAATATGCCCATTTTCTTTGTAATATTTTATAGATACTATTTAAATTCGATTCAAAATTATTCAACCAAAGTCACGATTCCCTTCGTACCTAAATGTCACTATTCACACAAGCCTACCTACTACAACAAGTGCTATGATCTAAACAGAAGGTACGCAAAGGCAGCTTTAGAAACTAGCTGTACTATTTACTGTGGGTGAGCACAGAGACACCACTTAAAGGGGGGCAGGAAAGCATTCCCTCCATACTCCTCTCATGCTGGTCTGCCCAGGAACTGGCGAACTAGCCAATGGACAGAGAGATAGGGGTAGGGAATATGTAGGAATCCTGAAGTCAGGCTACTGAAGAAAAACATGTCTCCAGTTGGCCTCAGATAGTAAACTGGTGCCAGAACAACCTTCATGGCCAAGATGCTGGTGTAATGAAGTTCATTGGCTCATGAAAATACAGCACACAGGGGCCAATGAGCACACAGTGGCATTCATAGCCCGTGTGCTTTACTTACCTTAATTTCATATCACCCGTAACACTTGATGCTGTATTTGTAGAATCTTAAAATGAGCTAATGCATAAAAACAGCAAGACAATTTCAAGATTAGATGAATATGTGATGCTGCTTATTGCTCTAGTTAGTCATGATCGTTACGTACCGTTGTTGTACATCTCTTCTTCCGTGGCCTGTCCCGCCCTACAGTACATGACCCCCACCTTGTACGATTTCATCAGCTGCAACAGAAGTTGCGCACAAGATTAGCGAAAACTCACAAAAATACCGTGAGACACATAACACTATAGAAAGCACTCAGCAATTTGGTAAAGTTTCCTCGATAAAGTACTTGCTAATGGTAATCCGTGCATTGTATAACAATAATTTGCCCTGTTTATTTACAATAAACAACCTAGTGCAAATTTGATTACACATTTCACTTGGGGTAAATTAACCATGGTTATGAAGCATAAAAACTGTACGAAAGGTTGGTGAGTGAGAAATGCAAAGAAATGATAAAACTACAGTTACCGATTAAATATTTTAATATAAGTCACGGACATCGCACAGTACACGGGCCCCTACAAATACACCTCTATCGAAATGTGACCGCCGTGGTCGAGGTGGAACTCGTGAGCATCAGGTTAGCAGCCACTGATCCGAGGCAGACACCGTCGAACCTTAATGTGTATACTGTGGTGAAACAACCTGCTTATCACAATGCCCGCATGTCGCGTTTTCGCTTATAGCAATGGCTTCTGCTTGTGAGTTGTCCGTGCCGAAAGGTAATGCAACGAGAAATCCTCGAAAAGACACAAGGGAATGATAAAACTTCAGTTGTTAGTCTGCGCTTGACTGTGCTCTCTTTCTTCATGTGTGTTTTTTAGAGCAAATTCCTATCTACAGAAAAATTCTAGTTGCTGTATCCTAGCCTGCAACTAACCTGCCTCAGCGCCCCCTTGGACTTACGGTATGCTTTGCCGCATAGCATTGGGGAACTGCGGCAAAGATACCCTTAAATACGCTAAGGCAGGGTAGTGGCAGAGGCTTCCATTAAAACGGGCAATCAGGTTACGAATTTGAAACTTTGAAAAGTTTCAGCGTCCGAAACTTTCAAACATTGTTGTAAATTGGCTCTATGAAGCTTGAGGCGGTCCTTTGAAAGCGTCCAATTTTCAAACGTGTCTGTGAAATCAGCTGCTTTGTCATTGTGCTCACTGATGTCTGTTCGCGTATCCCTCTCAATAAGACATCACAACAGGCTGCCATCCTTTCATTTAGCTTTTTCCCATGTAACTCGTTCATAGCAATTATCAGTTATAACAATCAGCGGCGCCTGAATACTCTTGTAAGTGGGTTCAACTGTATTAGTAGCCTGCATATCTGTCCAGAATGCTTCAACTGAACCCAATTTCATTACAGCTGTCTTTTCGGATGTTGCCCACTGACCCCTTGTTCATCGAGCTTGAGCAGTTGTTGCTCAGTCGCCGGTCCAGGCACGGCCAGTCGCAGGCAGGTTGTCTGCAGCTCGGGTGCGGCCAACTCCAGCAGCTCGCGGACGGGCAGGGAGTTGGCTCCACTGCCGCTGCCACTCAATCGGCCGTTGCTCACCGAGCCGCCCAGAGACTCTTCCGCCAAGCTGCAACGCAGCACAGCCAGCTGGAAGAAGGGAGCACAATTAATGAGGACACACTAATTAAACAAAGCAGCGAATGAGTCTCACTTTAATAAAGCATACTTTGAACATTACATATAGCTAGATTCAAAAATAAAAGACTGACTAACAGATCAAGAAATCAAATACCAAGACACCTACTTGCCAAGTGCAAGCGAGAGCCTCAGCATTAGTCCCAGACGAAATCACATATATCAACTCCCATAAAAGGAAAGTGCTAACACTGGAATATTAGTTAGTTATACAGTCGAACCCCTTTAAGAGAGGCACTGATGTAATAGACAAATGTATATAAGAGACACTAGTGTACCTACATTATTTATGGATATGTGGGGTTTAACCATCCCAAAACCAATATATGATTTTAAGAGACGCCGTAGTGGAGGACTTTGGAAATTTCGACCGCCTGGGGTCCTTTAACGTGCACCCAAATCAGTGTGCCTACATTAAAATGGAGGTTATTAAGAAAGTGCATACGTGGTATCCTGCTTATGAGATACACCTCATATAAGAGACAATAACTGCTCCGCGGTGCACGTCTCTTATAAAGGGGCTCAACTGTATTGTAACATAGTACAGCAATCATGCAATGTCACCAAGCTGGGAAACTATTCAAAAAGTAAAGCAGCAGTAAAAAAAGATTGACAACTGATGACAGATTGATTTACAAAGTAATTTAATCAGTGAAGACTGTGAGAAAGTGATTGAAGTCCCGCAAAAATCGGAATGTATGGAGACATCTATAGCCTACTCAGTTGCCACCATAATTGATTGATTGATTGATACGTGGAGTTTATCGTCCCAAAACAACCATACGATTGTGAGAGACGCTGCAGTGGCGGGCTCCGGAAATTTTGACCACTTGGGGTTCTTTAACGTGCACCCAAATTTGAGCACACGAGCCTACAGCATTTTCGCCTCCATCGAAAAGGCAGCAACTGCAGCCAGGATTTGATCTCGCAACCTGAGGGTCAGCAGCTAACTGAGCCACAAGGCCACCGCAGTGGTGCGCAGTTGCCACCATGGCCTGGTGCAAAAGTTCATAGCCTTTGCCTTTTTGACCCAAATCCCTTCTGATGTCAGCCTTACAAAGAAAAAAGTGAAAAAAAAAAAAATAGTGATAAAGGCACGTTTAATGAAAATTGCAGTGCATAAGGGGTGGAAGAGGGTACATGGGTTAGGAAGCAGTCCTGGGAGCAGGCAAATGTGGCTTTTGTAGCAGGCTTGGATCATCCAGAAAGACATTTTGGAGCAGGCTTGTAGCAGCCAGACGGACCTTATTGAGGAAGTTTGGAGCAGTCAGAGAACATTCAGAGCAGATGTAGCACATTACACAGTAGTCTTGAACCTCAGTAGAACAAATTTGCATCTTACACAATACGTTCGTTGAATCCGAAAATTCACTATAAAGGTTTATTCTTAACACTAAATCTTTCGCGAGACTATTTTTTCTTTACTTCGTTATAACCAATATTTTGTTATATCCAGATTCGTTATATTGAGGTTTGAGTGTACTTGTAAAGCAACATTGGTTCAATGTAGCATTTTGTGAATGCTATGAAAAATTGTGCAGCAACAGCCTTATTATTAACGATAGCAATCACTCTCAATGGCTTTTTGCCGTCACCGTTGCCATCATGTTCCGCACAAAATCCCAGTTGGTAAACAACATACCTCCGTGGTTGTACATTCTACCAGCGAGTAACAGTGTGAGTATGGGGTCGACGGACACTGCTGAAACAAAGTTTCAATGAGCCCGCCCTTCTATGCCACTCAAAAGGCGTATGCGATAACATCACCCCACTTGGGAGGCGTGCCATAGAAGAGGAGGAACACCTCGCCTGGTTGAACGAGCATGAAAAGATGTGAGGAGGGGGAGTGTGTCGCTTGAGCAACAACTGTTGCTTCCAAGGACGCAGCTAACCCTACTGGAGCGACGATCACTGGTGCACGCACTAGCTTAGAAGCCGTCAGCAATCAGAGGGCAGCGTGCATGCACTTCTACGTGCTGCGCTCTCATTGCAACGAGACTGTGCGAAAAGTGTTGCTCACCCTGGCGAGGCCGTATCCTTACACCAGCGTTTTGTAGAGTTATGTGAGGTTGGAAATTTGCTTTGCCCTTGAAATCAAACTGACCTTTCTTTTTAGCTAATTACAGCCACCCATTTGTTAAATTTAAACACATAAGTGTCAATTGCCGAGCCGAGAAGCGCCGCGTAGCCAAGCACAGCGACGAAATTCACCAGAACACGTGCGTGTGCTCGATATACAGTTCTGTGCACCTGTCTTTGCTATAGGTTGTTCCCGGAACCGGACACCACTCCCGCTTTTGTTTGAGCACTGTTACCGTCATCTTTTCTTTTTTTGAATGCTGCCATCAAGCTACAAAAACAAACTACAGTTTCTTTCACTGCAACGACCAAGCAATGAATGCAATAGCAACAAATTGTCATGTTATTACGAAGTAAGGCTGGAAATTAACTTTTTTTTCGGATCCGATACTACGTAACTACACAAAACGCTGGTATAAGAAAATACGGCTGCACCAGAGAGAGATGCTCTTTTCACAGTCTCTTCGCTTTGAGGACTCACAAGCCAATTCGCGGTGATGCCTGCTGAGTAGCACGCTCGCTGCAGCGATCGTGACCACGTCGTCAAATTTGAAGCTCACAGCTGGTGCTTGCACAATCACAGCCCTGATGAAACCGAAACTATAACAGTTTCAAAGAAATCGAAAACACAATGTTTCAGCCATGTTTTCGGGCATGGGGCTTGATGGCTGTCGCATCTTACAGCTAAATTCGGGCGCTGATAAACGAGTATGGCGCTGATACAGCTAGAATGACGCTGATAAACAAGTATGACGCATACAGTGGTAGTTCGACGCAGGAAAGGCGCAGGTGAACAAGTTTGGCGCCTGATTGCGTAAATGGCGCAGCCGTTTTAACCTTGGTGCATGTGTAACTCTGATATTTCATTGCTGCGAAAACTTGCAGCACCAATGCTACGGGCAAATCGCTCCCCTACATAACTACATGTCTATACACTGCAACAAAGCGATGCTCATTTTGACCAGTTCGAAACGGAGATAGCATAGCAGCATATGGAGAACCAAGCTACAACCTTTATCTGACCCTATGATGTGACAGAACAAGTGCCTGTCACAAGCCTCACACAAGAAAGCTATGATTCCGGACATTTTTTGGGCCAAAAGAATACTGTAATAAATAAAGACACAAATAAAAACACCTGCAACGCGATTTTGAGTGCCCGGCACAGGTTTTTTTTTTTTTAAGAGTGCTTTCAAGAGCTTCAACGCGAGTGAAATATCAAACAATGACATACAGCTAGAAGCACAATGCTCTTTGGATGAATGTCAATCAAAAGAGCTTCGCAAACAAGAACATTAGAATAAGCATGCTTCCATTAGACCACGAGCCTGTATATTAAGTATAGCTGACTGCATGCAGGTTGTGTGTTCATTGAGTGCAGTTTAACCCTTTTAAAGGAAGATTGATGTGAGAGACAACTGGTTATAAGAGACACCACTGGGCCTAACAATAAAACAGGCATTGATTAGAAAATGAGGATGTGTTATCCTGCTTATAAGGACACCTCATATCAGGAACAAGAACTACTCCCAGGTGCATGTCTCTTATGAAGGGGTTCACCCGCACCACAATTCACCTGCTTCAAATGATGCCCATAGACATAAATGCTATCTTCCATTGCCAGTAGAAGACTGTGTAGGCACCATTACAATTTCTTTTCTAGATGCTTCTCCAGCACTCTTCTTATCTGCCTTCATACTTAACGCCTTTAAAGCTTTTTTGCGAGTTATGTTGTCTACACCTTTATGAAACATTCATAATCCAAAAATATGCACAAAATATGCATGAAGTATTTGAAGAGCTTATATTCATGGTACATTCAACTGATCACTTTTAAGGGCCAAGTTTGGCCGGTCGAAAGTGAGCACTTTGAGTACATTTGGCTGGCTGTTTTACACGCCTACACGAGGCGCTCTCACTATGACCTTGTAACGCGTTGAAAATGTGTTCTAGTTATGCAGCACTTTGTCTATTTACAGCACAATATATGACATACGGGACGAGCAGCTGAAAGAGGCGTTGTCTAGCTGAAATTGAGAGCAGGCTTACCGATGTTACAATGCGATACAAGTGCTGTGGCACCCAGCAAAATGTACCATTGAAATTGTATGCACAATACTTGCCTCACTCGTTCGGACGATGATCCTATACAGTGTCTGAGGTGCTCCACCGGGGGACGGTCTCGCAGAGTTTGGCACATCAAGACGGTCCTTGCGGAGACTAACTGCGACTGGTCCTAGTCGTTCGTCAATGCCAAACCAGTTCTGATGACCTGCACATCAACAATTGGCCACAAGAGAGAACCAATGAACTTGTACAAAATATTGCTTCTGGAGCACTTATAAAAAGACTTAGTATCCAACTAGCTACTAATTTATCCTGCAAAAACAAAGTGCAACAATTACTGCTTGCACTGGGTATGATTGGTATCGAATATGTTTTGTACAGATTTCATAAAAAATATCACTCTATAATGCACTTCTTTTATTCAAATTGCCTCCAAACAGCCTCCATTTACAATTATGCGGGAATAAAAACACTAAACAAAAAAATGATTCACCTTTACGAGGACTAGTACAGAGGTTCTGTATAAGACCTTCCCTTCATTACTCTTTGTGACATATATGTTACATGTACATCATATCTATTAAAGTTTACCCTTCCTAGCAATGAACACAGATACGGGGAATCATAAGTTATAGCAAGCTAAATACAAACATTGATTTCGTGTAAACTTATAATAGGTGGTAGTGAAACGTGAACATCCATGCCGGCAGTCTTCTCGCAAAAAAACAATAGTACTGCTAATTTGGAAATTAAAGTGATGCTGAAATGTGGTGCCTAAAAATTTTGACCTTTAAAACAGGACAAAGACCTTGAGATTAGCATGAGGCAGCCGTGAAACAATTCAGAGAAGAAAGGTAAACTTGTGTACATTTCCAGGCTGATATGTCACACTTTCACTATCCGTGCTACTGAAATACAGTAAACCTAGCTAATTTGAACTCAGATAATTTGAAATTTCGGTTAATTCAAAGAACTTCTGCGGTCCCGTGTTTTCCTATGTAAATTTTACCGGATTATTTTAACAGCCCGCGGGTTTTATATGGATAATTCGTAATTCTCACCGGCAGCAACGAACGTGAAACAGCCTTCCGGTGAAGCTTATCTCGGAGGTCATAATAGTTGGAGTACCGGAAACGGGTTAAAATGCATTTTCCGTTTCGTGCTTTCGACGTTCGCGATTTTCTACGTTTTACCGTTTTTCGTGCATTCCGTTTCAGCATTTTTCACGTAGCTCACATGCTTCCGACCATTAGTCTTGTTTACTTTGTCTCCTATGCCTGCTTGTGTCACCTGCAAAGTCCTAACCTCTTTTTGGACTCACCATGCCAAAGCACAAGACGCTGACGCTGCAGAAGGTGTCCCTGACTGAGGCGGTTGAGAAGTCGACATGCACGAAGACCCAACTCGCCGAAAAGCACAAGATGCCCCTGTCGACGCTCTCGACCATTTTGAAGAACAAAGTAAAGTTGCTTGAGAGATATGGAAAAACGCATTCGTCAAAGCGATCAAGGATTCGCTACCCAACCCACCCGGACGTTGAGGTCGCTTTGATGAAGTGGCTGCAGCACGCAAACGTAGCTAGTCTTCCCGTGAACGGCACCATCCTTAGGGAGAAGGCCGATGACCTGGCACTGCGCCTTGGCCATGAAGGTTTCAAGTGCAGTAATGGTCGGTTCGTCCGATTTAAAGAGCGAAACAACCTTACATACTTGACCGTGTGCGGGGAAAGCGGCAGCGCCGACATGAACTTCGTTGACGACTTGCAGATGCGTATGCTAACAATGCTCCTTGAGAAGTTTGGCGAGGACGATGTCTACAACTTGGATGAGGCAGCCTTGTTCTACAAGATGTTTCCCACAAAAACATTTGCTGCCAAGGACACCACTGTCTCGGGGAGAAAGCAGCCCAAGGAGAGAATATGTATCTATTTTCTTTGGTGCGAACATGTCTGGAAGAGACAAGCTTCCACTGCTCGTAATCGGCCGATCGGGTAAGCCTAGGCGCTTTGAGAACGGGTGCCTTCCTCTGAGGGATGTTGTCACGTACAGACATAACAAGAAAGCCTGAATGATGGTGGCGATATTTGAGGAATACATGTGGTTCCTCGACTGGGATTTCGCCGCGAAAGGCTGGAAAGTGCTCTTTGTTATAGATAATTGCCCGGCCAACGGGGACATCAGAAACCTGGAAGCCATCAAGATGGTCTTCCTCCTGGCAAATACTACGGCCGTATCACAGCCGATGGACCAAGGGGTGATCCTGCAAACGAGAAAGATTTACTGTCACCACCTATTGAAGCGGGTTCTGCTTCGCTACGACATTGGGAAGCAATACCACATCGATCTGCTTGGTGCGATTTGTTTAATTGCCTTTGCCTGGAAGGAGTTGAAGCCAAAGATGATCAAGAGCTGTTTTGAACATGCCGGGTTCTACAAACAAGGTGGCGAAAATCTTGATGAAGACTGCAGCTCGTCCAGCCTAGATGACGAGGGAGACTCGATGTGCACCCAGATCACTGACTCCGGGGACGGACTAAGCTTCGTGGAGTATTCCAGTGTTGAGACAGGTGTACAAACATCATACGCTTATGTGCATGAGGACGTCACCGACAGTGAGCAAGTCGGCGATGATGGCGACGATAACGAGCCCGCCCGTGCGCGCGCTTTGGCCAATGCCGTGAACACCTTCCGCAGCTTTGTAGAGTGCAGCGGTGGTGACAGTGAAATGCTGAGCATTGTGAGCAAATTTGAGAACATGGCACTTGGGGCGGCGAACTACCGCAATAAGCAATCCATTATAACCGATGATTTACAATAACCTTTTTCTTGCAAAAAAAAAAAAAATTATGTGATTTCATCTTGTAGTGCTTGTTTGCTTTTTTTTTTCTTCATTTCGGTTAATTTTGAAATTCACTTAATTTAAAGAATTTTCACAGTCCGGCCGGCTTCGAATTATCGAGGTTTTACTGTATATAAAACGAAGTTGCTCTGGGGGTTACCTATTCTTTCTGTGAAAAAACATTTGTGTGCAGATGCACTGGAATCGCTAGCAGTGCATGATGTCCACGAAGTTCCAGCATGTAACATCAATGTAAAGTTGAGAACTGTATTGACAGACTACAATAACTAAAAAAAAACACTGCGCAGTTGTAAAACGAGATAGACAAACAAAACAGCAAAAGTAGCGTTCCTTTTATTCTCTAAATTACTGTAGTTGTCCAGGTGCACTTTAAACCTGAAAAATTCTAATTTGAAATGGCCAATAGCCCGCTATCTAAATTCTAATTTGAAATGGCCAATAGTCCTGTATCGATGCCGATAGGCACGAACAAGAAGGTGTTCATCACCCCGGCCTTCTGTAGAGCTCCAAGTAACAAAAGGGTGCCATATGAGCTGTTCAATTTGCCTTAACAGTACATAAATTGTTAAAAGCAGCATTACTCATGTTGATTACGATAATAAATTTGCTCAAGTGGTGCAATTGCAACAAAAATAGAAAAGTACAGTAAAATCTCGGTACAACAAACTTCAGGGGACCAGGGCAATTTGTTCCTTATTTCAAAAGGTGGTTATAATGGAAGCCCGAAAATTAACCATATATACTTATTTTCAACTGACCAATTTGACTTACATTTACAACAATGGGTCCTTGAACTTGTTTTTTCCGATAAAAAACAAATGCGCAAGTGAACACCAAGAAATGCCTGTTTCTTTAAAAAAATTTGATTTTTAAATTTTTTATGATGCGTGCAGCATAATTTTGCAGCTCGAAGGCCTCCAGCTCATCCACTATCGCCACTAGCACCGCAGCGCGAACACCGACTTGCTTTGTGGACACGATAAGTACGGTATTTACTCGATTCTACCGCGCCCTCGATTGTAACACGCACTCGGTTTTCACAACTAAAAAAAAAAAAAAGTAAGACATCGATTGCAACGCGCACCCATTTTTCTCGGCCCGCACAATCACGCTACTCGGGAAAATGACTCCTTTTGGGAGCGTCTTCCGTTTAAATGAGGTACGGGGGAAGCTTCTGCCTATCTGATATGCAACGGAGCATGCCGTCACTCTTGTTTTACCGTGGCCCGATGTCAGCATGCCAATTTGCTTCGCCCCCTTCTCGACGGTTGTGGTGCCAGGCATGTCGAAGTAAAGAGGCGTCTGATCGGCATTCCCGATTTGCCCAAGCAGGTAGCCGTTATTGTGTCGCAAGTTTAGGACGAACCTCTGAAAACTGTGAAGCTTTTCTTCGTACTCCTCCGGCAAGTTTTGGCGCATGCCCGTTCGCTTTCGGAGGGAAAAGCCTGTCCTCTTCATAAAGTTAGTTAGCCAGCACCTGCTCGCTTTGAACTGGCTCCGCGTTAGCCCTTTTTCTAAAGCTAACTGCATAGCTTGCACTTAGAGCAGTTCTGTCGTCACGGGCTGCTGTGCCGCTCGCTGCTCAAGCACATACTCGGCAAGCAGCTCTTCAATTTGCGGAAACCGACCCTGCTGTGGTCCGCTGAAGCCTTTGCGTGAATCTTTGACAATCTTCTGCTTTTGTTTCCGCCAGTCCCACACGCACGTTTTGGGAACTCCGAACGACCGCGATGCGGCCCAATTTTCGTCTGTTTTGGCACACGCCATGACTTTTCTTTTAAAAGCGCATCGTGGTGCACTTGTCGAGTTTTTGGAGCCGGCCCTTCCATGCCGTCGATGCTAATGAACTACAAGATGACGAACTCCTCAGCACACGTACGAAGTGCCGCACTTGGGAAATCCATAGGCAGAAATGGCCAACGTGCCATGCCAAAGCACGTAGGGGGCGGCCATTTTGGAAATGCCGATGGCAATAGAATGACCGTATTCATTTGTTCTCGCGCTCGATTTTAACGTGCATGCGATTTATGAACTCGCTTAACCGAAAAAAAGGTGCACGTTAGATTCGAGCAATTACGGTAATCACAGAAAAGATGAACACGACTGACAAGGCCTCCTCATAGAACACCTATACCCCTTTGGCCTCCGAGATCACATGTAGAAGTGACAAAGATAAGAAAAACCCAAAGTGTCGTAGCTGTCATCGCCTCTTCCTTAGAAAACAAAGAGCTAAAAACAGTTTCTCGCGCTTGCTTTTCTGCTTCCTCGCTGTATCAGGTTTTCCTTGCCCATGCTTTCTGCTTCCGCAACTCCCACTCTGCCCTCTGCCTCGCAGACCCTGCCCTCCCGTGCTGACCTTGCCCCTCCCCTCTGCCCTTGTAACCCTGCAGCGTCAGCACTTCAATAAAAAGGAAAAAAAGTTGTCACTTCTTTTTTTTTTCTCTCCACACTGTCGCGCATTTCCCAAGAATCAAGGCTTATGTTCGCTGTGTTGTCTGCTTGGGTACAGCTCCGTTGGTCGCGACAGATTTCAGAACATGAGTTCATAGTACTGAGGCATTGTTAATTGAGTCGAGCCTGCTTATAACGAACCTGAGCGTGACGCAGCATCCGTTCGCTGTATGCCGAAGTTCGTAGTAAATAAAACACAGCTTTAAAAAAAAAAGTTGCGAGTGAAAACACAAACTTTTTTGCCTCAAAAAGTCCGTGATGCACGTGTTTCAAAGAGCAGACGCGAGTTCATTTAAAACGGCAGAGTGCTGGTTCGCCGAGGCCCGTGGCATAAGCTGCATAGGGCACTGACTACAAAGTGTCGTCGTTCTTGCAATCCGATTCCTCCAAATCGCTCTCGCCACGTACTTCATTCACAATGCCCAAATTCGTGCACGGTTCCGCAGTGTTGGCTTCATCATCGGCCGTAATTAAACAATCGTAACAGATGTCCCACCCGCTCTCCCAGGTCGGAGTCGACACGCTGCCACTGCAGTTCTGAAGCTTCAGGCTTGGCAGCGGGTTCGACGTCGACGAAGTGGGCCTCGCGAAAACAGTTTCGCACGCATGTAGTTGTCACCGCCGCCCACGAAATATCCACAATCTCCACAGCTGAATACCGGGACGCCCGAAGCGGCAAGTTGTCTGCCAGGTGGTCAACAGCTATGAGCAAGCGCTTCGCAACGCGGAACCTAACGCGTGGATTACGCTCAAGCCAAGCGATCACACTTTCGACGTTTTGTTGAGCAGCAGGAAAAAGCGTGCTAGTCCTCCCGTCGGCCATCATGACCACACACGCACACCACGCGACACACATGCCAGAACGCGTGGAACAGATCTGGGCCAGTTTCCAGTCAGCAAAATGAAACTAATTCAAGCCAGCGTAGCAGGCGTCGTGAAGCGGTGGAGACAGGCGAAAGGGTTGTGAACAAGAGAGGAGAGCAGACTTGCGAAAGAAGGGCAAGGAGTTGCAGTAAAGAGAGGGAAGGATGCAGTGGGAGAGCGACTTCGAAAACCAAAACATACGGGAAGGAGGCAGGTTGGGTAGCTTGCTTGAAAGTTAAAAGTGTGGCAGCTTGGGCTAGTTGGTATGGCATGACGATAGTTATAGCGCGAGAACAAAATGACGACACAGAGACAAGACGTGTCCTTCGTGTCCTTTTTGTCTCTGTGTCGTCGTTTTGTTCTCGCGCTATAACTATCGTCTTGCTTAAAAGGTCCGCGAAACTCGCACGTCGAAAAACTTGGAAAGAGTGCCTGCGCGCGCAGAAGTCAAAGCATAGCCGCCTGCATCAGTGCGTGCGGCGGTGTTCGAAGAATCGGCGGCCGTAGTAAAAAAATTGTTCTGTTGCGCCGGCAGGTTTGCGTGGCCTCACGAACTTCAATATTTCGCGATTCCTTCCGCGCAAATTAACAGCCGTTTTCGCGCTTCCGCACGTGCACGGAAGACGTGCTGAGCTGAGTGCGAAGTGAGTGGGAGCAAGTCCTTAACACGGAACGAATCGCAAATTATCAGAGTCGGCGGGGTAGCATACGTGCAGGCACTAGACGTCGACTATCGGATACAGTCAGTGGCCGACCATATTGGCAAATTGTCTGGTCACTCTAGGCCGGCGACGCCAACGACAGTACCAGCAATCAAAAACAGGGTAGATGGCCGACCGGTCTTCGAAAGATCTGTGGCAGTGTGAAAACACGGGCCTTGTCTGGTGATGCCGGGTGCTCAGAGTAGCGGGGGGACACAAGACGGAGGGGTGCGTAACAAAAGAGAGTCGGAGCATGGAGGAAGGAAACAACTTTCCTTCCTCCATGGGTTGGGGAAAGTGGCAACTAGAGGGTCGCAGAGGCAGGGTCGGCATTTAATAATAAGAATGTAGGGGCACCTCGCCGATGTCTGATCGGTGGTCGAAATTGGTTTCCCGGGAAGTCGGCAGATCGCTGACTCCGTTCGCTGTAACCGATCAGCGGTGCTCGGAGACGTTCGTTGTAAGTGCGACTTTGTGCCATTGAACAAATGTATATTTTCACGGTCAAGTGGACATTGTTCAATTTAAGCAAAAGTTCGTTTTAAGTGGGGCCATTATATGTGGACTCGACTGTATAATGCGGAGCTAAATTAGCGCTAGTTATTCTGGAACGTTCGATATTCTGAAGTACGTAGTAGTAAAATATTTTTATTGAAACTATTAGCAATCGGCGTGGTATTTGTTAAAAGTTCGTTAGTTTGAAAAGTTCACTAAAGTAATATTCATTCTACCGAGATTTTACTGTACTGTGTTTCACTTGATGTAACTGTCTTCTGCTTCAAAGACTGGGGAAAAAATTCTACTACTGCAGTTTTAACGGCTGTGAAGAATGTCTGTGCAAGGAGTCTAAAACTACACTTTGAAGTGAAGCCACCAAAAGTTTTGATCCCACCTTTGCCGTGGAAGTGTGTCCTGTAGTAGAGGGCACCCCTGTCCACTCCATCGAGCAGGGTGGCCGGCCGCTGGTAGGGACACGCTCCATCGTCTAGGCCAGGCCTCTCCAGAATGGCAAGCCCGCTCAGACAAGTGGGCCGATGCCAGGGACCATTGGTGCCATTGTTGCGGGGAGAACCTCCTCGACCCGACCGGAGGCCCCTGCAGCGCCCATGTACAAAAGATCTTTCTTAACTGAGCATGCAGCATTCAAAGCCTCAAAAAGTATAACAAATAAATGTCACTCAGAGCTGATGGGAGGCATGGGCCATAAGAAAAAAGGAAGAATAGAGCAGTGGCTCCACAAATGCTTTTACAAAATTACTAGGACTCCAAGCTTCTTGCGGCTGCTTAGGGGCCTAAAAAACTTTTGAAAAGGCTAGTCTATGTTAAAAAGCTTTCAGTAGTCATTCCTACTGCCATAAGGCGTAGGCATGCTATAGCAATGAAGAAATATGGTTGTTGTTTCTTTTTGCACAGCATGCATCAGTTGAGGAGTCATACACTAAACATAAGCTATACAAAGAGCAAATGACCGTTTATATCTATAAATGCAGTAATTTGTGTGAACTTTTTTGTTTCACATTAAGAACTGAGAGAGTGAGTTCCTGCTTATTCCTGCTTATCTACGGGTGAATCTGTTTGCCATCGCACAATAAATATTAAGGAAGATTCGCACTATTGGTGCAAAGCCTGAAGCATAAGAGTTTCCTAAAATTAACTAGAGGGGATTTTGGAGCTGCGATTGTTCAGGGACCATGGGAATAATGGGTAGTACAGAGATTTGCCTACTCCTCATGCTTTGGCTCAAATGCACTTGTTGCTTTGATACTTGCCATGTTTTCGTTTTGTTCCGAATAAAAGAGCGAACTGTTATGAACTTCGTGACCCGGTTTGAAATGATGAGCTTAAAAGGTTGATATAGTGAAGTACAACTGCTGAACATTTGCAGATTTTTGTTTCGTGACAAGGCAGCTCCAAGCCACACAAAGCCAAATGGGGCCAGGAGTATGCAGATTAGACAAATCCAGGTACTACCCACCATTACCATGCTTGCTGAAGCGTCGTGCATCGCAGCTCCCATAGACACTAGCGCCGGAGTTTCCTTTAGGGTATTTATAGAAAAATCTCTGGCCTGAAGAAAGTGCAAAGCTAGGCAGTTCGCTTCGTTTCTCTTTCCTTCTCTCTTGTTCTCTTAATCTAATTAAAATTTTTCTGTTTTACCTTTTTGTAATTCCATTTTTCTCCCTATATTTTCCTAATTTCTCTCTCTTTCTATTTCTCGCTTGCTTGTTCGTTCAAATTTTCATACGTGGTTTGTGTTGTCGCGTTTCCTTAGCCACAGCAGTAATGTATGTACTTTATATCATCATCATCAAGACACTCGAAGAAGAAGAAAAAGAAGACTCAGCTTGGCGCGAGCGCGCACCTGATATCCTACAGCTGGCTATGGGTCTTGCCTACATAACACCAAGCGACGATGACAGCATACGATCACAGCACAAAACAGCACATGACAGCTCAGACCCCTAAAGTGCTTACTTAAAATCGGTAAAACGATTTGCGAAAACGTCATGCAAATGGCCCATAGCACAATGAAGGTCTAACATGCATTTAAAATTTACAAAATTAGCAGTGGTGTTATGAATGCCCCTTTTATTTGACGTGTCCCTGAGTGGCTGTTTTTCATCAGAATGTACCCATAGAGCCACTAACTACTGTGTTCAACTGACCTAATCACTTTCATTACGCTGAGGTATTTCAATAGAAACTGTGGGGACAGACTCTACTACTACTGCATGGCACAACAAATAAAAAATACATTACTGTGGGGACAGACTCTACTACTACTGCATGGCACAACAAATAAAAAATACATTACTCAACAGGACAGTCGCTTTAATGCAGACAGGAATCACTGAGCACATTTTTCCAGGTGAACATGCACAAAAAAAGAAAGTCTAAAAACAAGAGGACACATACCAACTCATCCCCTATGAAAGTTCTCATAATATAGTGCACACCATTCATGGTTAAGATAGTAATATTCGACGTTTCATGTCCCAAAACATGTTATGGTGATCCTTTAAACTTTCCAGAACCCTCCTAGTAGAAGGCTCTGAAAACTTGATCCCCTGGGTGCTCTAAAGTAAACCTAAATTGAAGTATACACAGACCTCTGGCCTTTCGCCTTCATGAAAATGCAACTACCACACCAGAAAATGAACCCAAAACTTTTGTTTTAACGGGCTAGGACCATAACACTTGTACCGCCACGATTGCTACAGTTTGAGGCTCGGTTTGTACAATTTACGTGCAGCTATTCTATGAAGGTTCATGCTTGTGTACTATATTGGGTTGCAATCTGATTTTACGCTCTTTCTAGTTCACATTAGTACAGTTAAACATTGTGAGTGCGTACCCGCTTTAAGCGTACAGGCAGTTAAAACATAAATTTTACTGCGCCGCTGAATTTGCAGGCACCACAATGTGCCGTGAACGGTTTTCGGTCATGTTGATAAGTGCGGAGATCAGCCGATAAGCTATTCCAACTTCCGCGCGATTGCAGCGATGACATTGCGTGTAATCATCGGCGAAAACCACCAACAAATGCGCTTGTACAACTTGTATGCGCAAAGCCTTATCACAGAGAGCATCCCCGGCTACCTGCTCGGGTACGCGTATGGTTTAGCATAACTTTTGGCCTACTGCACGCTTTTAGTAGGCGACAACCTGAATACACTGGGGTGCGGATCGATGCTGCTTCATTTTGCAGGAGAGCATCAGCCAATGGAGAGCATCGGCCATTACCAAAACAAGGACGTCGACCCAATTTCGACGGCTTGGCCCTATTTCGATGGGCCCCGACCGAAAATTGCTCCGCCAGCTGCGATCAGAGCGAAAATTTCCAACATGTTGGTAGCTAACCGCAGACCACTGCGGCAGGAGCGAACTGCCCTTTTTTCCACTGCAAGCGATTCCACAGCCTGAAAATCGCTACTTTTTGTGTCATGTGAAATGGCCTTGAGCGAAGTGCTGCATGCAACTAGCTATGCAGTAAATGACTTGGCTCTCTGCGACTGTACCGCGTTTGCATCAGTTTTTGCTAAAAAACTGATGAACTTTTGCTAAAAAAGATTGCATCAGTTTTTGCTAAAAAGCAGACTGTGGGAAAACTATTACCAACAGCTGATTGGGTCCGTTCTGTCGCTGTTTCAGACTGCGTATCGCGGATCCCACTGTAGTTTCGAAATGCTCATCAGCGCCGCCCCCGCGTGCAATCAGGCGGTTGTGCGAGATCAGAAACTTTTCTGTACTTTGGCAAAAAAAAAAAAATGGCTCTTGCGGTGGACACTTTGGGCATTATTTCCTGTGCAATTGAGTTTCTTTCTTAGTTGGCGGCCATGGCGCATGTCAGGAGATGCAAATTTGCAGCTGGTGGTTAATGCATAGTACGTTACGTGTGTAGTTTTGCCGCCGTCCCCGGCAGGTAAGTTTCAGCGGGGTTTCACAGTATTAGTTATCTAGCCTTATGTGTAATGATGCCCAAACATTGCCCTGCAAAGGACTTACACCACACCAAACCTTTGTGTCTGGTTGGGCACAGTGTAAGCAGAAACCAATCGGCAAAAATGCTAGTTGAGCAATGTACTAATGGTTCATGCTTGTCAATGACACAGCATAAACACAAGACAAGTACACCGACGAATTGAGTGCTACTCGTGTCAGTTTCATTCTTTATGCCTTGTGTAAGTTCTGGGGAAGGTGGAAGGCTCAAGAAATAAAAAATTCATGAACATGGGGTGTGGCTGGAGCATACACACCGTGTTCACAAATTTTTCATCTCGCGTTAGCTGTCTTATTCACAAGGGCAAGTAAAAAATCATCTACGTTTTTGCACAATACTTTTCTTACATTGTGCACTTTCTCTTTGGTCCTCCCATATTATTGTTATACTGTTGGGTGATGCAGTGAAAGTTTGATTTTAATTGCTCCATTTTTCTTCTTTAGTTTGCAGATATATACCATGGCAGCTCCGTAAAAAGTCTGCGTCAAAGAGGAACAACAAGCAGTGATCAGATTCTTCATGTCGGGAAGTGTCAGAGTCAAAGTGAGAAGGGCAAAATGCGGTGTGAAAAGTGAGTTCACGACCAACCCAAAAACCGTTTATTTAGGAAATGCGTAACCTCACTGACCTCTGGGCTAAGTGCATTAATAAGTACGAAAATTACATAGAAACATTATGGGCATAGTACCACTTTAGCTTCATGTATATAAACTGTTGAATGAAAAGTGTAGATAAATTTTCATTTGCCATTGTACTATGAGCCACTTAAATGGCACTGCTACATCTATTATCAAATTGTATACACTGCAAGTTGGCAGACCTACCTAGACGTCGCCCTGGTAAGTCCAAGCTGCCTCTGCTGCTCTCCTCCGACCTCGTTCCGAAAGAAAGGACAGCTCAGTAGCAGCGCACTCTGCCGGCCATCCCCCGAATCCGGAACGCCTTCCACTCCATCTTCGCCAAGCCCGCCTCCAGCTCCCGCTCGTTGGAGCATGGATGCGGCAGATGCGCCCGTTGTCGTGTTCCTCCGCCTCCCAAGTATGGACGCCAGACGGCCCGACGCACGACTCAAGTTGGTTCCCAGGCTCTGGCAGTCGTAGTGGGCCAGTGCTCTCCTTCGTAACCGTTCCTCGGCCGGATCAGGCAGCGAGGGCTCGAGGCTTCGAGCGTCGGCGGACTCGCTCCGACCACCTGGTTTCCATTTGCGAAAGAGCGAGCTCTCCTGGTTTCCTCCGCCACTCGAGCTGCCGGTAGTAGCACTCACGCTGCCCGTCGTTACGCTGGCACTGGGCAGTCTACTCCAGTTCTTGCCGCGATCCCGGAGCTCCAGAAGACGCTGGAACTTTGTCTTAAGGCGCGGACTTGACCCTTCCTCAAGCGCTCCGTGCGCCAACGTGTTTGAGGCATTCTGGACCGCCGGGGCAGGGTCGAGGCGGCCTCGAAGAAACTCCTGGATGTTGGCTGGTCCGGGGCTGCACGTAAAGCACCAAAATGTCCTTAAGCTGATCTATTCTTGTTAGAAGAGACGAAAAAAGAGAGGTCTACTGAAATTATCGAAATGGTGCATAATTAGTGACAACAGATAGCACTTATCCCAGTAATTACAGATAACGGATAAGAGCCTTCTACTGTATCACTTTTAATAGGCTGGCAATAACAATGGTGTAGATAAGTTCTCTGCTATCCACGAAACAAAAACAAACTGCTGCATTGCAACTACACATGAGTAACCCTAGTATGAAGCACTGAAAAGCTGATGACTGAATCAGGGCAGCTGTGACTGGTATTTCTGTTCAGCAAACTTCCTGTCAACGTGACACTATACAAGCACACTGCATGAAATGTGGCCGATGCTGCAGCTCATCAACCTTAAGATAAGAAAAATGTTAGGACGTATTTGTTTATGGCCATGGGCCGCTTGTGAGAAGTTGTGAACATTTTTTTTTCATTATCACTGATCCAGCATACCCAAGCAAAAAGGACATAATGCGGGCATACTGACGAATCGCACACACCTTGTGTTGTCATAGTTGCTGGTGTTACAAAAGCCACACTGAGTCACACAGAAATAAAGGCTTGTGGGTTCCTGACCTCTTTTTGCTAAATTATTTCAAATATATTCTTAGTTGCGAGATGGCTCACGTACTACACTGTGCTTCCTTTGCAGTCTCTCGATTCTCATGAAGAGCTGCGTGTAACGAAACCTGGCTTCAGGAGCCATGAAGAATGCTACAAAGACTGTTTCTGTGACCCTTTGAGGACCACATTTATCAAAAAGAAAACTTTACTATTAAAATACACATTTTCCCCAATAGCCACACAGAACTCAGGACCATCACCTTTCAAAGGTCACCTCATATCGCAGTCTGATGCAGGGCGCAGAGCAACCACTCCGAAAAGATACAAATCCCAGGATGGATTCCTGGATCAGGACTCAACATTTTATTATCTCAGCACTAAATGCCTCATTCTAAGTGAAAGGCATTGTACATGTGTGAGTTGTCTGCCACCACTACACAAAAGAAGTATAGAAGGCGACGTATAGTGAACATACAAAAGACTCTCGTTAAATGGAACCTGAAGGGACCAGCAAAATGTGTTCAGGAGCTCCACTTGCTAAGAGATGAACAAAGGTGAGATGAACAAATGTACGAAACCAATTGTGCTGGAGGCAAATCCTCCATTGAAGCAGCAGTTTTGTTACAGATTTCAGTTTACCAAGAGTCTACTCTAGATTGCATTTTAATGTATATGATCAGATGTCGTAGGTGGCTGTAGCACTTACATAATCACCAGGATTGATCTGTAGTGGTTGCTCTGCGGCCCTCATGCCTTTTGGTTTGCTCGTATTGCAGGTGACTAGCCAGGTGCTGCATTGTGCGAGTGCATTGGGTGGCAATTTAATATTGCGGTTGACGAATGGTGCTTTAGCAAAAATGCAGAGGCACTCCAAAGCTGTTTCACCAAGAAAAAAAAAACTCTCAATGTCATTTTTGTCTTTGAACTGCTGAGTTCTGAATTAAGAAGCCTACATAAATTGCCCCAGCCCGATGCACTAAACTATTCAGGTGTATGAGGGTGCTCAATGGTATACATAGCAAATCAAACAGTACAAATAAAGTTGTGAAACTAATCCCCATAGCTGGCGGTGGCTCCACTGCTTTCACAACAAAGCCAGAATGAAAGCATGTGATATAGCATGGGTCTTTTGAATGATACAAGCCCGGACAGAAATGCTACACACCAAGCATCAAGGAGACTTGATGCTGTGTACGATTTTATGATTGTGCAAGACATATAGATATCTGCAACACATGAGGCACTACAATGTGGTGAAAGATGCAAGCAGTTACACAAGCCTCCGCAGTTTTTGTAACACTGCCTCTTGAGGGGAGTTGAAAAACGCCAACGTTTTTCCAAAAATACACACCTTTTATTTGTTTTCCCAAGTTTAGTGTCTCTACTTTCACAACAAAGAAAACTAAAGATTGTAATTAAACTCCAGGTAGGTTAAAATTACCTTCAAAGAGCACAACGAGGCTACTAAGAACTCAAAGAGTTCATTGTCTCGTGTTCCCTGGAAATTATCACCTGGCTGCTTGCTATTTCATTTTTCATGAGGAGTTCACTAAATCCACCCATTCGAAATAATAATTGCCAAGCTCTCACAGTGGGAAAAATCATTTTAAAAACTTATCTTTGCCACACAGATCAGCTTTCATTCATACCTTTGAAATGCGTGTTTCTCAAGATCAATCTTTAGGGAACTTTTTGAGCTCAGAAATCATGTTTTTTGGTATTTCTGATAGCAAAATCAATATGAATTTTTCCCCAGATATTCTTTAACATGTGAAGGATGCAAGTATCTCCTTTATAACATTATATCACCAGTATAGTTATTACAAACCCACAGAAAACAATTAGTAGGGGCTGAAGATTCTAGGAATTCTCATATTATAACATTCTTGTTTACTGTAAAAATGCTTTATGTGCACTTTCTTGATAGTTATTCTCATTCTACAGACAATCTAGAGTAAGATGAGCCATTATTGGCTCAGAACCTCAAAAGCTTAGTGGCACAAAAAGTTTGTCCAGAACGAACAGTACTTCACACATTGCAATGGCACAAAATGAAAACTGTGTGACTTACTGTAAAACTAATCACATAATTGAATCAGCATAAGAGCCTATATGTAAAGCGAAAAATTTCATTGCTCTAGGCTATAGATTAGTGCAACTTTTTTAATTGCATCTACTTTTAAGAATGAAATTGAGTGTATAAATGATAGCAAAAAGTGTAAGATGGAACCCCTATTCTTGTTGCTCTAGAGTACTGTTTGTTTACTAATTTAAAGACAACCTGGAAGATCAGTGGCTGTCCTACCACACTAAGCTCAGTAAACTAGTTTCTACAAACACTTTGTGCATTGTTACTTTAGGTTTGCTTAATATTGAAGCTTCAGGCAGCAAATACTTCATAAACCTCAACAAATGTGCCTTATACAGGCTTCTTGATAATGGATATTCAGACGTTATAACAATGTTAACAGGTTCAGCATTAGCGAAACATTTTATGAGAAAAAGAACTGAATGATTGGGTATAATCACCACCTACATTGCAAGGTGCAATGTTGGTAGTGGATAGATTGTGTTGGTTTAAAAATACCACACCGGAACTACAACACGGCTTGTTATGATTCATATATGCTTCTTTTACACATCAGTAAACATTCATGCATTCCATCCTTGGAACAAAGAGCCATCTCCATAGGTTTTTACTACCACCACCACGACAACTGTGAGCAATAAAGGTGAAAAAATTACAGTGAAACACTGTCAAAAGCACAGTTCGCAATCGACCGCACACTGTCGATAGAACTGTGCATAAATAATGACCTGAACAACAGTAAAAACATACCTTCGCTGGTCCTCCCTGCGTTGATTAGCTCGATACTCCCGCAGCAGTGCAAAGAAACTGATGTCCCCTCCGGACGAAGCAGCCAGAAGGTCCAATGACGACGCCGAGCCATAGTCCCTCCGCGATGGGCCTCCGCGAAGTGCTCCCGGCTCACTGACTGCATTGCCGCTTGCGTTGTGGTCGAGGTCCAGAGAGCTGTTGCTCCGGTACAGGCTCATTCGGGACGTGCGCTGGGAACGCTCACTGTGCGTCCGCTGAGGTCGTGCAGGCCCCACCGACGTGGCGTTGCTCATGCCGGCCGTTGTCTGGTGGGGGACTGCCGATGCAGAACTCTCATGCAACTGGTGGGAGGACGGCGACGACTGCGGCTGCGCGTGATGCCCATTGAGCTGGTTTGCGCTGCCGCTACGATGGAGGGCATCGCCAGAAGGCAGGCAGGCATTGTAGTACTGGGCCGAGCAGGCCCGCAGGACGCTCGAGCTCATGGAGCTTTCCTGGTCATCGTGACTGCCGTTCGCCGCCCTGTTTGCGCCCCTTCGGCTTGTGCTGCTGCCGGCATTCCTGGCGACCTGTGCCACGGCCAGGCCTCGTTTGCTCGGCCATGCCCAGGGGTCCACCTGCATGTAACACTATTGCTTAGGACAGGGGTCCAATGAAATTGAACACTTTGCACAAGTTAAAGGAGCAAGAACATGAAGTTCTCAAGCACTAGTAATGAAATTTTCGTAAAATCATATATGCCCTGTGGCAAATTGACACCATCTGAGCACATTTCGTCCAGTAGGGATTCTCGATAAATCTTTCCATATTGCAGTTTAAGAGAAATGTTCTGGCAAATGACAGGTAATGAAATGAAGTGTGTTCTATACAGCCAATGCATATTTCTTTTTTGTATTTGCACTTAAGTGCTAAGCATGAGATAAGTTTCTGCAAGCCTTTTTTTTTTTCTGGATTCACTCTGGTGTTGCGCAAGTTAAACAATTGCAAGTGTGATGTAATTCTAATGAAGGAATAATGACAACAAAAGGTAACAAGCATCATCGTAGAGTAATGCACCACGAGATCGGCGCTCGAGCTCCACCATCTTCCTCATCCTGTCGCTATCTCGAATCTTCCACCTGCCCGTTAGGTTCGCTCAATAAACCTTTTTACATAATTAACAAGGCTACCTTTTTGCGGTATAGGGCGTTGCAGTGCATCGAGCAAGGAGGTTTGATGCGCACCCGTGAGCGAAAGTACATATATATGGTTCAAGGGAGTGCGTGGCGAAAATGAAATGTGCGCCATCTAGTGGTGCTTCGTGTAATGTCGAGAGCACTGCTCTGGCGATTTTTTGACCAGAATAATGCTCTCGAAATTCACCACTAGATGGTGCACATAACAATTGATTTTGACCACACATCCCCATGGCCCTAATACCTTTGCTCACAGGCGTACATTAAAGGAGCAGTGACAACATGCTGCACAATGCATTTTTTGCATCATAGCATGGTTATCAGTATCCTAGTAACAATTTGGTACTAATAATGCAACATAGAAATGAATTAATATATGAAATATAAATTACTACGGCCAGCATCGAACCCAATCAAAAGCAGGTGCAAAGTCCGCGAAATTTCAGCGCTGCCAAGCGGTCAGCCCCTGTGGTCCTACCCCATGTAATCTTGTGACCACTCAAAATCATGACGCCCCTGCGGTCCTACCCCATGTAATCTTGTGGCCACTCAAAATCATGACGCAAGTTTCAGTTGACATTTCGTCTGCTCCACGTACACGTGTATAGGCATGTCTTTGCCCCCCCCCCCCCCCCCCCGTTGTGCTTGCCATCATCAGCGTCCATAAGCAACGATTAAAACACTGACCATTATGGAATTGTGGTGATTCAAGGCGTGACAAATCATTTTTGGCCCGATCCCATTCTGAGCAGTGATTCTGACATCGACGCTCAACCAAGCAGCAACGAGGCAGCTGGAGACATACGCTTGAGCCATGCTGGCTGGTATTACATATGAACACTGCGTGCGTGTTGCTTGTTTGCCATGACCGTAGCTTTGAATAATTACATTCATGCTCATGACTCCCCAACAAATCACCCGTAGCGGCACAATGAAAACGCAGGATTCACATGAACGCGCAGGACAAAACAAGCAAAACGAAGAAAGTGAAGCCATTGCCAGGCAGCCAGGTGTCGCCGCCAGACGATACCACATAGAGTCGCTGTATATACTCTCTACGGGAGCAAAGTAGTGCATAGATCGGCCATCTTGCTTGGTTAGCAACCATAGTTATGCGGTGAAGCCGCACTCTATTTTGGCAGGTGACTTGCTTGAGCCTGTCACAGATCGACAAAGTGTATCGCTGAAAGCCAGTAGACGTGCCTGGCATCTCAACAACCGGGGAAGAAGAAATGCCTGCTTTTGGGACTGTGCCACGCGGCTTCAAAAGCATGTTTTGCTCTGTTCGGTAATGCCAAGTCCAAGGACATAGCGTAGTGCCGAATAACATGAACTGCTGCTGCCGCATGGTGAAGTGGCACTAGCTATGGAAGATAAGCAACAACTCACAAACACAAAATATAAGTCCTCCTAGATTCAAGGAGCGCCCCACTAAGCCTACAGCATTGATTATTTCAAAATGTTTTCAGAAAATGGTACCGAATCCATGCAAATACTTGGCTGTCGAAGCTTGAAGACATGAATATAAATCACATAAAAGCACCAATTTGTAGCTAACGAGCTACAGAGCACACGACGTTTACTTGAAAGATTTTACGTGGGTGCCGTTCGCTTTCAGCGGTGCGGCCTGTACACCAGCTTCTCTGCAGTGGATAGTTGCTGGCGGCGCTGGAAAACAAATTTGCTACTCTGCTACCTAAAGGTAGCATATACAGTGGCTCTAGTACCACATGTAGACACTGTGATCTGATGACAGCACTAAAATTATCATCACTGCTTGCTCATCCCGGTGCCTGAGGCGTGGCCTAGGAGCTCGCTGAACGCGCCAAAATACTGTCGATGTGTAATTGCCGGGAACGCACCATTTAATCTTTGGCCGCTCTTTGCACTCCAAAATAGGACAACTTCTACGTAATGAACGCCATTCTTACTTCACTAAAAAGCTCATGAATGAATATGAAGCAATCGAATGAACGCCACTCTCGTGTTTGGAATTTGGTGTCGTTGCTCCTTCAAGTTTCAAATTAGCCTAAAAGCATAATGCATGGGTGCTGAACATTGAACATGAGCATTGGCAGGCTCGGGACTCTTCAGTGTTACGCTTTGAATACTTCAAGCCAGAAAGCTACGTATCCAGTCCAAGCGAGTTTTGTTACTGCTGTAGTTTGAGTTGCTACAGCATGCCATGACGGTGAGTGACACTCACTGTCCTGCCTACGAGCAGTGCCGGCTCTTGCAGTCCTCTGTTTACATGCCCATAAATACACAATAAAGTGCACGGGGCGACGACCAGTGCCAAAGCTCAATAAGTAAGAGCATTGGTTGCATAATCCGCAGGTTGCAGGTTCTATCCCTACCACAGGCAAGATGTCTTTTTGCCCGCTTTACTTTCTTCAGATTTGTATCGCAATTAAAACAATACACATACAACAGTTCAATGAACATTTCCCGTACCTTCCTTGGTTTCATACCTCGCTGGGGTTTTTTTTTTTCTTATCTCAACTTCATTAGTTGAAGAAAAGTTTCTGAAACTTGCTAAGCTAAGCTCCCCTTATAACACACAATATCTCTCAAGGTAAACATCTTCAACAGACCACTGTCTGGCTGATTAAAAAACACCAGGCCTGCACGAAAGGCACAGCACAGTCATAGCAAAAGCATGAAGAGCAGCCTTTCAGAGCCTGTTCTAAACACCATACACTATTAGTGTAAATGCTAGAAGCACACATGCAAGGTACCCACTATGCCATAAATATCCACAATTTCTGCACAGTAGACCGGCATTCACTATGCTATCCTCCGTCATTCTTCAGAGAAATCGCTTAATACTTGAAAAAAATATTCTGTTGCATTCAGTGGCTGACGACGAAGAATCATGCCTGAAGTGGATATGTGCCACAGTTATTAGCTGATGAAGAACAAGCTTTTGTAATGTGTTGGAGCATTGGACAACCCACTCACTACGCGATTCGCATTGTGTTATGCCTGGTTGGTAGTTTGCTGTTCCGAAACGCTTTATGAATCATATTAACGACATTCCTTTCCCAATATCAAGCCAGCCCAAGGCAAGTTTGCCAGATGCCCTGCGCTGATTTCCATGTCACTTTCATTTGTCAGACGAAGAACCTGCTAAAAAAGAGCCACCAGCACAAAAACAATGTATGCAGATTCTACGCAGAGTGCCACACCCTCAAAGAACACAGCAAGAAGCAAGACTATCATATTAATGTTGCTTGGCTCATTCCACCGAAGCTTTACAAACAAACAAAAACTATACCTCGAATCTCGGCATATATAGAAGATGTCGTGAAACATCAAAAGATCAATGGGGCACTACAGAGCATGTTTACGCGACTTTAAAGATCAGTGGCGAAGGCAACATCACAGACTGCAAGGGTGAAGAAGATAGCATACAACGGCTTAAAAGTGCTATTCCCTGCACTTTTCTCGGACCCAGGGTAGGGTCCGAGACACTTAAGTGTATCATAGCCACTATGGTGGCAGATCAGTTTGATATAAGCTCACGAATAAGTTCAAGAAGCATGTCAAGGAGAACCAGCGAAAGCAGACGATGGAGCTGCTGATGGCACGAAAAGGTGGCAAAAAGAAAAAGATGGAGAGGGAAAGAAAAGGCCTCATGCAGGGCAGAGACGGATTTAAACACTGGTACAATGGGTCGCAGGGCTACCGAACCTGCATCTGCAAGCGAGATTTGCTCAAACAGGAGCCTGTCTCCAGTACAATGAGCGCCTCAAGTTCCTTGCCTTGCAAGACCTAATACGTGACCTACTGCTGTCATGGAAGCCACATCTATACACAAGGTTCGTTTTAACAGCCCACTTTTAGGACTGCGAGCACCTCAAGATCCTAGCCTGGCACTGATGAGAGCTTGGCCATGGCTGCTATTGCCAACTAAATGGTGGGTTACTCATGCATTCCTTGTTCCATACTGCTTCTGTCACATTGTTATGCTGCTGAGCTATTTTAGAGTGATTACAACATCATCAGGCCTCTACCAGCCCACAACAAAATTCAGTCACACAACCAGAAGACGATCTTCTTGTTATATCTCCCCTGCTTGCTGATGTAGTTTGTCTATGTGCCATACAATATAATTGTGTTTTTTAAAAGCACCCCCTCTCCTCTGTCTTCAACGTGTCACACGCTCTGCAACCTAACAATCTAAGCAACACAACATCACAGTGCATTGAGAGACATCGCATGCACAGTTCATACTCTGAAACATTACAATGAGCCTTATAGTCTACTTGTATGCAACATAAGAAATTTTCTTTCTATTTCTTTAAAAGAAAAAGGAGTGCATCAAAACAAATGAGTCCAAGATTGCTACAACAAAAGATCTTGTTGATGATGCCCCTTCCAAATTTTCCTGTTAATGCTTACGCCTAAGCTACAACATATCACAACAAAGTGGATGCTCT